CAAACACATCACTACATGCATACACTTAAAATCATATCATGGAGTGTATGTGGCTTCCATACCCCCTCAAAAAGAACAAAAATAGTTAATCACTTATCAAAATTGAAAGCTGACATATGCTTTATACAGGAAACTCTCTTAACACAACCAGAATCACAACAACTCACACTTAAAAACTATAAGCACATTTTCTCATCCACATTCAATAGTAAACAAAAAGGCATGTCAATTCTATTCCATGAAAACACCCCAACTCATACAGACCCTGAAGGAAGGTATATTATTATCGAAACTACCATTAATCACATCCCATACACATTTGCAAATATTTATGCACCAAATTACGATGACCCACAGTTTTTTCATAATGTTTTCTCCATTCTCCAAAACCACAGTAACATCATTCTTGCAGGGGATTTTAATACTGTTACTAGCCCTTCACTAGACCGCTCAAGTACTCTGGGTAGCATAAGACATTCTCATTCTGCCGAGGTAATAAAACGGTACATTCAGAACTACGGACTCAAAGATAGTTAGAGAATGAGAAACCCCACACACCAACAGTACACATACTTTTCTCCTCACCCTCAATCCTACTCCAGAATTGACATGTTCCTTATCAGCAACTCGCTTACCAAATATATAACTGAAAACACAATACATCCAATTATAATCAGCAACCATGCATCTACTCAACTGAACACAAATAAACAACAGTCAAGATGGCGACTAAACACATCTCTCCTAGAAGACGCAGAATTCAACACACTAATACGGAGAGAGTGGGCTTCCTTCCTAGAGACGAACGACTCTCCAGACATCTCCCCATCACTCCTTTGGGAAACGGGAAAAACAGTTCTTCGAGGCACAATCCTTTCCTTTTCCTCGCACAAGAAAAAAATCCAAAGAGAATGAGAAAACACTATTGGACAAAAAGTCAATCTACTTACTCAGCAACACTCCACAAACCCAAACAGACAATTGGAAAAAGAATTGAATGAAAGCAAAGGAACAACTCAACAATATAAAAAACCGAAAGACAACTAAAATATGATCAATTCCACTATAGCAAAAATAACAGTAAACTCCTAGAAAACTTACTGCAGCAAAAAAAAGAAAAATCAATCATCACCTCGTTACAAGATGAATCCGGTATTATAACACAAGAATCGGCTGAATAAATGAAATTAGTAGACACAGACATTTGCACACATTGTAATCAGGATAGTACAGACACGTATTTACATGCCACTTGGAACTGTCCCCCGGTACATACACTCTGGATTACAATAACCGATAAACTCTCCTCCATACTGAGTTGCAGAATCCCTTTAAATCCATTACTGTGTCTTCTGAGATACCACACAAATAGACCTACCACATGAATATCACTCCCCTCTCCTCATCTCTCTTACTATCGCTAAGAAGGTAATATACCAAAACTGGAAAAACAAAAACATTTGCAATATCAACCACTGGACCAACATACTCAGAGACCATATTATATTAGAAAAACAAACAGCAGAGAAGCAGAAGCATATGGCGGCCTTCACTAAATCCTGGACTCAATTCATCACTAACCTCTAACCACTACAATAGGCCACATACACACACACACACACACACGCACACGCACACACACACACCTCAAAACACAGAAAACACCTCCCTAGAATTATTGCTTACACTAATAGCGAGCAATGTATTGTATTGTTGTTGTTATTATTATGGTTATTATTATTATTTACGTGTGTGTGTGGGTGTGGGTGTGGGTGGGTGGGTTATATAAATTGACACGGTAACATTATGACACTGCCCGCCTGTGCCAGCCCGGTGTGCGGATCAAAGCTGACGTCTACCAGTGTCCTGCACTCCACTGTCTTCCGGGGCCCCCCGCAGGAGGTGGGGGTACCATACTCAGGCTCATTTTTTAATGCATCACACAGATTTAGACTGATTTAGGGGGAGAAAAAAAAAATATATATATATATGTATATTTACTATATATACTGTACATATGATAATGAAAATACACAAGTCAGAGTAAGCGAATGCTTATTTTAATGCATGACACGTCTAGTTAAAAAAAACACAGAGGGGATGGGCCGGGCGTGGGCTTCCCCCCTTTGGGGTGGGGGCCCGCTCAGGGGTCTGCCTGTGTGTCGGATTTGGTCTTGGTGTTGGCTGGGATCTGCTTAGCTTGGTGAAACTCAGGTGGGCAGACTTTGTGTCTGTGGGGTGCGTGTATATATATATATATGTTTGTATGTATGTACTGTATGTATGTACACATCTTGGTGCCATTATGATAATGATGAACAATCTGTAAATATGTACTCTATGCTGTTTCTCCGTTTACTTTCTGTATAGTATGTGCACTTCAGGTTTCTTCTTTTGCCTCTTGTATCTCCAACTACATATTGTTTGTAATCTCTTAAATGACCATCTCTTGACTAGTCGATGACGCAACCTGCACTCAGTGTGCACTGTCCCAATTCCACCTTTTTTGCACACTTGTAACCTGTGTTGCATAATTCAAATTTGACCAGGAAGGAACAAACATTTATTTTCTTGTTACAATAAATGTGCATAAGATCTCTCCCTGCTGCCCCTGTGTCCTAAACCCCAGCGAGCTCTGAGGGCGCTCCTCGATTTATTGTCTTCAACAGAATGTCCAGACACCCTTCTTTGGGGGGCCCACTCTGTAGTATTACTACAGGTTTTAGCTTCATTGAAAACACAGTTAAAATTTGATAATAATCTGATGAACAACAAACAATGTAATTTACAAATGCACATCACCTGCCACTCAAACCCTTGTGTGCACTTCAGACAAATGCACACTTCGTAGAGGAGTGTAGGGTGCAGTGTGGGTATTGACACCGGTGAAACACATCAGGGCGGGGCTGACAATAAAACAGAGATACAGCAGAGGAAGTAAAGCTAAAAATGAAACCATGGAGAACTAATGTCAATATAAACCAAAGTACAAAATAACACAAAATCCACACCATGACAAAGTGGAATAATAGAGTAAGACCTCAAAGCTCCGCCCTCTTCAAGCTCAGTCCATAGCATGATGTCACCAACAACCAGGAAGTAAAATTACCAAACTGGGATAAAATGTGTGTAAAAAAATCTAGCATAATCTACAGAAATTTGAGTACAATTGTAATTTTGTGATAATTATAGTTCAACCTCGCACACAAACTTTAAGGAATGAAGAATTCAACAGAAGTAAAAAGCTTTTATCTTGTTTTCTTTGACCCACTTCTCATATTGTGTATGTGTTCTGATTTTTTCTCATTCTATTATTCATATTTATTTATTTCTACTTTTACTACTTTAGGACTGTGTGATGATGACTGCCAGACAAGGAAACAAAGTGGAGAAAAATTGGGTAGAGGTTTACTGTGGTTCAAGAGAAAACTTCATGTGTGAGAAGCCGTCTTGCACATGAAAGACTGGAGGGGTCTCTCTCCTTTCGCCGCTGTTTCACTCGTTTTTTGATGCTCTTCTTTTGTGTGTGTATACTCCGACCACATCATCTAACCGCTGGTATAACAACACATTTACCTGTATTTAAAGTCAGAAGAAATCATGTGTGGCTTGTGTGCACCGCAGTGATTTGTTCAGAGGACTCTCTGTGCAGTCTCTCTCTCTCTCCAGTCTGTCTCTGGTCTCTCTCCTTTCTCTAATCTCTCTGGTTTCTCTCTTTGGTCTCAAGTCTCTCTGCTCTCTCCTCTGATTTCTCTTGGGTCTCTTTTTCTAGTCTCTCTCTCTTTTCTCTCTGCTCTCTCTTTTGGTCTCTCTCTGGTCTCTCTGGTTTCTCTCTAGTCTCTCTGCTCCTGCTTTTCTCTAGTCTCTCTTGTCTCTTTCTGGTCACTCTCTTGTGTCTCTATCTCTTCTCTCTCTCCTGTTTCTAATCTCTTGCTGGTCTCTCCTCTGGTTTCTCGCTCTAGTATCTCACTCTGGTCTCTCTGGTCTCTCTGGTTTCTCTCTCTAGTCTCTCTGGTCTCTCTATCGTCTCTCTGGTCTCTCCTCTGGTTTCTCTCTCTAGTCTCTCACTCTGGTCTCTCCTCTGGTTTCTCTCTCTAGTCTCTCACTCTGGTCTCCTCTGGTTTCTCTCTCTGGTCTCTCTCTAGTTTCTTCCTAGTCCCTCTCATCTCTCAGTCTCTCTCTGGTCTCTCCCTTTCTAGTCTCTCTCTGATCTCTCTCGGGTCTCTCTCTGGTCTCTCTCTGTGTGGTTGCCTGGCAATTGATGGCCCTGTATTTAGAGAAATACAAAAATACTGCATTATTAGTGACAAACCAAAAACCACCTTTTAAATTATGTTCTTCATATATATTTCATATAATATACTGAGTCACTTCTCATTGTTAGTATTGTATTACCCTGTTTATTTGCACTCTGAAACACTTTCTTTAGTGACCATATGTTTTTCTGTCTTCAGAAGGGAGCTGTCTACTGTATGTGGTGCTGTTTTATTTTTTAATTAAACTCTGTAACGGCTGTGTGTATGTTTTTCTAAGATGTTTCAATGTAAAGGCAATCTTAAAGGTATGTAGGAGGATACTTCCAGGTGGATCATCAAGACTATTGGTCCTCCTAACTGTCAATCATTCTGCTGATACGCGCTCGTCAAATAAGACCACAGAGTTTTGTTCAAAAAGTGGAGAGGGCGCTTACCTTTAATACGTTTTGACTAAAGTTTCTGTTCCTAAAGTCACCACACGAGGGAGACAGATAGACACACACACACACACACACATTCAAGCCTTTTCTCTGACCACATCTCTCTATTTTCTTCCCCCTTTAGTGTTTATTCTGGAATTTAGATTTATTTTTTCTCATGAATGAAGGTCACATACAATAGCACACTAGAGAGTGAGAAAAGAGTAGGGTTGAGTTGTTTTTTAAAGATTAGGGTTGATAAGTTTTGTTGACAGGGCTGAGTAAGAGAAGTGCAATCAGATTCTTTGATTATTTCCCTGCGGTCATGTCGTCTTTGTCTGAATGGAAACAGCAGCTTTCGGAGAGGAAGAGGCGGGAGGAGGAGGTCCGGGAGCAGAGGGAGAAAACCATGCAGGGTTTAACTAACTTGGAGCTGAAGGACCCATGTGCTCGGGGGATTCTCGCGGTACTGCAGACTAAACCAGACTAAATTCAAGTGGTCTACCCAGAAATTATCGCCAAAGAACTCAATGTAAACTAAAACAGCTCGGGATCCCCTCCCACGGACGTGCAGGCTTTAGATCCAGGACTCAGGCTGTAGAACGAGGACTGAAAACAGACAATGGGACAGTGGGTGAATAGCAACAAACAGACAGCAGCAAATTATTATGAAAGTTAAAAAAAATGTACGTACAAACTTATGATCAATGAACTGAAAATCCAGAAAAAAGTTGGTCCAAATATTTAAATGTTTGAAAGAGTATCGTGTATACAGAAAACCATTGTTCTCATAAATAAAGATGGAACTTCTCATGGCTTTTCCACGCAAACCCCTCAGCAGCTGCGGTCCAAACGGTTCTCAGCAAGAAGGTTGTGGGGCCGTTTTGTGTGGAGTTTGCATGTTCTTCCAGTGTCTATAGCCGCAGACGCTAAAGATGAGCAAACACACTACTCTCCTCTTTAATATATACTTGCATGCTCTACCAACTGAGCCACTGTCACTTTTGTTTATCAAATACATTCATTATTTAACAAAAGTAGAGTACACAATATGTTTTCTTAAATTCAATTAAATTGTATCCACATAAACTCGAGTCCAGCGTTTCACAATTTACCGAAATCCCGTGTGGCCCCTTGGAGAAAATAAATGCCCATTCCTGTTCTTAGATAATTACCAAATATAAAAGATCCTTTCTTTGTCCCACAGTGGGGAAATGTCAGTGTTGCACCAGCTACGAACTGCAGGATTGAGGCGCACACACACAAGTGAACATTAAGTATTGCACAACCCAATACTTAAAAATAAAACATCTATCTTTGGCATAATGAAGAAGCAGTATAAATGTACAAAATACTCCTAAATCAATAATTCAGTGTAGTGCCAGAATATTAGTGTAATAAGTCTCTGAGGAGTTATAGGTAAAGTGACGGTGGAAACATGTCGTCCCATAATGCACATTTCTAACATTATTTCAAATTATTGCACGACATCTGAGGTTAGGTTGCCAGTGTTTATTAGTCCTCATTGTTCGTTGTACAGCCTGACAGCAGCTGGAAGGAACGACCTGAAGACGGAAAAACTTGCACTGCTTTAGTCACGATTCATTTTGATTGTACATAATTTATATTGCACAAAAGTGACTATATTTTAACCTATTTAACATGTTTGCACACATCTTTTTGCACACCCCACAGTAATCTTATCTATGCCAAATGTGACGTGTCCATTTCTTCATTGTTAGATCAATAAAGTTCATCTTATCTTGTCTAAACCTCTCACTATTTGCCTAAAACAAGACCAGACAAGACCTTCTCCACTATCTCCACAGCCTCGATCTCTAAACCAGGATTAACCCGGGAGGGAGGACATAACACAGCAGTGACGGTAGTGAGGAAATATACAAAAGGCTTCAAATTCAAATAGGTCTGTTTGGTGATTTTAAAGAAACTATACTATGTCTGAGCTCTGGCTTCAGTAGTTTCTGCCTTCATGGTATGGTGCAGGCGGCAGGGACAGGGTAGGAGGGGGGTTGGTGGCAGACGGCCGTGCTCTTTAAATGCCTTTTCTTAGGTCTACAATATGGTGTGTGCCACTAAACTCTCCTGATGGACTTTAATGTAATTATGGGATTAGCACTCGCTGCCTCTGAAGCTCAAAGTGTTTACTACTCTGTCCTCGGGCGCTGGACTGGGCCTACTGTGTCCCGGACTTTGGTGCTTGGAACCCTGTTTGTGACCCGGCAGAGGAGATCCCACAGACGAGATGACGACTGGAGACTGGATACACATTGTTTAAGGTGCGTTTGAAAAGTCTTAAAGGTTTGATTTGAAATGTTATGTTATGTTAATTGACGTAGAGTTTGGTTCATTCAATGCAAGATTGTGAAGCCTGCTGTTTGTAATTACTGATTCCATTATTGATTCAATGTAATGCATAGATTGCAACTTTAAGATATCCAAATAAACAAATAACCTATTTTCTTTAGCCAATGCGTGATAATAGTCATGTCTAATTATTGGACTTTTTATGCACAAAATACCATTAGCGTAATATTGGCAAAATAACAAACATTACTATTGTCTGTGAACACATTAATCAAACTCTGATTATTGCACAGTCTAAACAATGGATAATAATATTCCAAAACATGCCAATGAGGTATACAGTATGCAAGTGATGTAATTACGATATTAAATAATATTGTGTTTTGAACGTCTGTTTGGTTGAATTTGAACACGTTTCACAATGAATTGTATTTACTGTGTATGGAATTTAGTCAACCATAGAGTTTGTTTAACCTTAAACCAATTACTCACTAAATCCCTCCTGATGTTTCACTGAAAGTCCCTCGCCCGTCCACGTCAGAGCGCTCCAGATGTAGATACGAAGCCTTTGTGCCTTACTCACAGGTACTTACTTACAGGTACTTACTCACAGGTACTTACAGTACTTACAGGTACTTTCACAAACAAACTAATATTGGTCCCAAGGAAATGTTCGTGTGTTAGCTTTAATCTTCCGGATTTCAGAAAATAAAAATCTCAATGTAGGATGTTGCTGAGTTTGGTTTTAGCATTTAAAAAAAAATCTTTTTGGAAGTTGTGTCAATTTAAAATAAGAATTTATTTAATCCAAAAGCGTTGTTTAACCAGTTCATAGAAGGTTTGGTCCGGAAGTTTTGCTAAATCAATAAAAAGTGCTTCATCGAATGTGGAACTTAGTCTTAACTTGTGTGAAATATAAACATACAATATTGCCTAAAGAAATTGGTTAATTATTTTCTTAATATAATAAATATATTAATATTAGTATTCGTATTAATATAATACATTGTAAAAAAAAAAGTGTCCTTAATGTTACTGTTTAATTGTGAAAATTATTTTTGTGATCAGCTCAGAAATAAATTTAGGTGATAATGGAAAAATTAAAGCAGTCAAGAATATTGATTTATAGTTGTGCCTAATCCATAAAACCCAGAGATGAAAATGCTTGTTGGCCATATGTTACAAAATAAATAAAAAGCCTTGTTTACAATGTAAAACTTCTCAGAGAGCGATGCTTTTGGTCCTCGGCTCTGGAAAGTGGAATAATGATTTAGTGAAGTTTTACTCAGTAGATGTTTTCGCCCGTGGGAATAAATAGCAGATCTTAATTACCGTTGGTTTGCATTTCTTTGCAGATTATTTGATCATTTCCCTGTGGTCGTGTTGTGATGTCGGTGTCGTCTTTGCCCGAATGGAAGCAGCAGCTTCTGGAGAGGAAGAGGCGGGAGGAGGAGGTCCGGGAGCAGAGGGAGAAAACAGAGGAGCAGAAACTGGCCAGCATGCCGGCCTGGAAGAGGGGGATCATCCAACGCCGAAAAGCCAAGTATGACGGCCCTGGAAAGGCGTGTCCCAGCGAGACTCGGTCCCCCTCGGATGGACTCAGTGACACAGACAGTTCAATAACAGTTCAATTGGGGAGTGAGGTCTCTACAAGTCCAGATCCAGGATTCTGGTTCGACATAGATCCCAAAACTGGAAATCAAGTCTCTCTCGAAACCATCGTCCCTGTGAATGAAAACCCATTTGTCCTGATACATAAACGAACGGCCAGAGAGGCGGAGTTGTCTTGTCCGAAGAGTTACGAAGGAGAGATAGGTCGTGGGAGAGATTTTGAAATTAAAATGGAAAAGTTTAGAGACTTGAGTGAAGGGAGGGACAAGGAGCAAAGCAAGCAGACAGATCTTAGTCGAAGCAGGAGCGTTCCAAAACGGCAAGACAAGGAACTTCTAAAAGTGAAGAAAGATGACCACATGAAAGAAGAATACAGGGATTCAGATTCAGCAAGTCCGGTCTTTTCGCCGACCGTCCCACTTTTGAGGACGATAAGAGCGGACAACATCATAATAATTGAACAAGAAAGGAAAAGTAGTGACGAGAGGCGATGTAGATGGGATGAATCAGAAAGGAGTGAAGAGGAGAACCAGACAAAAAGAGGACTAAAAATGGATTTGAAAGAAATTTTAGCTGGAGGTGGGAGTGTCACAGAGATCAGGGCCTCGGAAGTTTTGATAATCAAACCGTCAGAAGTGAAAAATAAGGAGGAGATGGAGAAGACGGATGGGAAAAGGGAGGGCAGGGAGCTTAGAAGAGATATGTCATGGCTTAAGAACAAAGCTAAGGAGTGTGTGAAGGAGAAAGAGCATCCACGGGGTCAAGCCACGGTAATCAAAGATGAGAGAAAGGACAGTTACGAGGATTGCGTGTTTGTAGAGAGAGGTGGGAGGGTGAGCCAGCTACTGTCCAGGTTCGGAGAGCATCGCAAGCCTCCATCTCGGTCCAAAAGCTCTGAAAATCTGATCCCACCTCCACAAAGTTTAGGAGATGACATTGAAGATGATGAAAGAGAGCACAGGAGACATGAGCAGCTCAAAGGAGTTCCCAAGAGGTCCTTCAGCTTTTCCGATAGAGTTTTTACTGCCAAGGAAAATTGTTGTGAAGAAGAGTTGAGGATGCGAGACAGGATACATTCGGAAAAGGCGCATTGGACTGAAGTGGCAAGTTTGGGGAGGGATAATGCGGCAAGGATTAAAATGGGGTGTGCACGTTTGCTGGAAAAGGATAGGTTTGGAAGGCATAGGCACTGGCAGGCAAAGGAAAAGCAAAACCGGGGCATTATGGATGGAGAAGAAAATTTCACGGTCGCAAGTGTAAAAAACGTGGAAGGAATTTCGTTTGCAAAGAGAGTCCCTATAAGACAAGAAGGCAGAGCAAGGGACAGAAATTATGGAGTTGAGAAAGGAGCAAAGACTGAAGGCCAGAATTTTGATTGCAAAATCCATGCCACACACAATAGACACATGCAAGCTTCAAGTTTGTCTCAACATAATACTGAAAAGATTGTGGATAGCAATGTTTTTAGCAATGACAAAGGAGAAAAGATGCATAAGATTACATTTGAGGTGTCAAAAATCTCATTTCCAAGCAATAATGCATCAGGAAGTGTGGACACAAAACCTGCAATTTCTGGGGCCCAATCGGCAACTCTTGATATCCAAATACCAAGGACAGTTTTTTTTGTGGCAGAAGAAAGTACGGACAAGAAAAAGCCAAGCAGTGCGCAAGATTGGGGAAGAGAGGGAGAGAGGGGAGAGAGCTTGAAAGCAGGGAAGCCGGTCAGTCGTGTTGAGTCTTTGAAAGAGAAATACAGGCAACTGCAAATTGAAAACTCTAAACAAAAAGATGTAAAGGATGAGAACAATTGTGAAGAAACAGTTGCATGCGAATCTGTGGCCACGTTAACAATGACAGGAGCCGAAATGGAACCGGAAGAGCAGAGTCATATTGGGCAAAGTGTGGTTGAGGTGGAGAAGGATGCTGCATTGTTGACTAGCGTGCCTGCTAATGACATTGCACAGGAAGTTAGCGTTGCAAAAGGCAGCCCCCAACTTCCTGATTCTCTGTCTGCATTTGGAGAGGGAGAGGAAGTAGACACTGCTGGTGGAAATATCACAGAAAGCCCCAGTCCAGAATCGGACAAGGAGGGAGAAAACGTTCAAGATGAAGTAAGTCTGGACGAACTTTTGGAAGACGATAAGCAATTTTACGAAGAAGATTTGAAGGAATTGACAGAGGATTTGGAATCAGAGGAGTCGCTTTCCCCTTCACCGCCAGAGTCAAACTCACTGGAAGAAATGAGTCGTATATACAATTTGGAGACGGTTGGTTCGAGAAGTGGACTATGCATACGGGATAGAGCCGGAGACTCAGTGCATCTCATCAAAGTTAAAACTCTTAATACACAACAGCAAGCAGAAGGCATTCAGAGTCTACAACGTCGAATTGAAGGCTTCAAGCTGAAAGAGCAGGAAGCGCAAAAGTCTCAAATTAGTGTGTTGCAAAATGTGCGACAAAGTCCAAAAAGGAACACGTCAAAGCAAGAGACCACAGCAGAAAAACAGGACAAAATATTCAGTCCACAAACGTCTCCAAGAAGAGTGAACTCACCGGATCAAAGCATAGAAATCAACTCGTCCATTCTGCGTGGTCAATCGCCGGAAAACTCGCTGAAAATTTTGGATCTGGCTCCAACGCCTGTGTCTTCTCCTTGCTCTCCTTCACCTTCGCCGTCTCCCAGTAGTTCGCCGGCGCAAAGTCCGACACCGACGGCCTTGTTCACGATCAAAAGTGCCTCAGGGGGGCAGGTGAAGCGGGGCGCCACCATCACCATCACGCCAAAGAAACCGCAGGCTCCGAGGCCATCGCCAACCACAAGCCCAACTTTGACGACCACCACAACTGTGACTGAACCGACGAAAAAGAAATACCCAACGGTGGAGGAGATCGTGGTGATCGGAGGTTATCTGAATCTGGATAAGTCGTGTCTGGTGAAGAACAGAGGGACGGCTAAAAAGGTACATCCAGAATCTTCTTTGATTTTGTGTAGTAGATTAGAACACATTAATCACACACAAAAGGGAAGTTTAAAGGACACATGTTATGCCAATGTTTCCTGTTTTTTTGTGGTTTTGAGCCATATTACAACATTTTCACGTAATTAGAAACAAACCTGAGATTTTTGGATAATTTTCGTTTACAATATTATGAGCAACTACAACCAAAACACAGCACAAACAATAATATTCTACATTATTAGGCTCCAAATGAGTTACTTTTAATTCAGTAGAATGCAATTTATCCATGATATTCATTTTTAAAACAGGATACAGGTCACACAGAATCACTACTGCTACTACTACAACTACTACTACTACTACTGCTACTACTACTGCTACTGCTACTACTACTGCTACTGCTACTACTACTACTACTACTGCTACTGCTACTACTACTGCTACTACTACTGCTACTGCTACTGCTACCACTACTATTGCTACTACTGGTACCACTACTAATACTACTGCTTCTATTGCTACTACTGCAACTACTACAATACTACTGCTACAATCATTACTACCGCTACTACAACTACTACTACTACTAATAATAAAAATAATAATAATACTCATAGAATTACTACTACAACAATGACTTCTGGTTCTGTTGCTACAAATACAAATATTACTACTGCTGCTATTGTGAAGTGCTTTTTGTGACCTTGATCTCTGAAATGCTACTTACTTCCTACTACTACCTAACCAATACTAGCCCTTTGCTATCATTATAAGTTGTATAATGACTTTGAAAGCATGGAGTCAGTAAAACAGATGAAACTCTACAGTCTATTAGTGAAACAAAACGACTTCAGTGATAGTATCAGTGAATGGTCTTCCTTTTGGTCCAACGGGAGTCAGTAATCTACCACCGGGGCAGGAGAGCTGACGAACATCCAGACTGCACTAAGCCGGTTAAAGCCTTATCAAGCACGACATCTTGATTCTGCAGAATAAAATCCACCAGGATCCACTCTATTTATCCTCCTCAGACCAACAACGCTGTGGAGAGAAAGACACGAAAGCAAGGAATGAACGTTCAGTGTCCGTGTGAAAGTGAGTTTTATAATCACCTCTCGTTATTGTCCAAAGGGAGAGTGATGGCCCAATCAGGAAACTTAAAGAACAAATATTATGCATGATCATGACATTATTTGCGGTTTGTAAACATGATCTTGGTAATAATTATTTTGGTAATTTTGTTTGGTATATGTATTTGATTTATGTATTGACTATGGACATAGCAATTAGTATTGAACAAACTATGATGTATTTGTAAATGTTTTAATGTTTTAACACTAGTCTACTATGGGCTAAACAATAGAATATCTAAATGCAAGATCAAAAAGAGTCCATTAGCAGCAAAAACACATCCATCCACACAAACAAAAACAAAAAGCCAGATGTAGCGAGTTCCAGAGTCTGCCTCCCTTCACTGAGAAACATGGCTGTCCAATAGATGTTCTAAACTTGTACAAAATAAACCAGTAGAAATATAATGCTGTTGTTGCTAAGACTGTTGCTAAAGCTGTTGCTAAGGAAAGCCGAGGTTTCTCCCGGGAATGAAGTCATCTGATTGGTCCATCCTTTTGGCTCATATCTGTATTTCTAACGACATTAGGAAGGAGATACAGAACCCCGCTGGCCCGAAAAAACATCTACAAGAGATCATTTGTCCCATCTGCAGTCACTGCTCTAAACAACCGGTAGCACTGTATAAATTATGAAATGTATTTTTCTTATGTGTTTTAAATGTATTTTATGTGTGTTTTATGAATGATCATGAATTGTGCCGTGTTGAAAGACAAATCTCTGCTCAATTTGAACAGACAATAAAGATCTATTCTATTCTTCTATTCTATCACAATATAAACACCAGGATCATATACAGCGCTAAAACATGGATTTGTAAAGCCCAAAAGAACGTGTGACAGAAAAAAACCTCTCTCTTTCATTTCAAAAGACTGTATAAAAATATGACTCTTGTCTGATACGTGAAGTTTGTCCAATAATTGTCCAATGTTTTTCTTCATGCTTTTTGAACAGCAACAATATCCTTAATGGATGAATTATTATTATTTTTTTCTTCCTTTCTTTTTGTGTTTTGAATGAGAAAAATATGTTGTGTTTTGAAGGCAGCCATTATAAGCTTAAGCTTCAGCCTCCGCCTTTTTGGTCCATGTGAAGTATGCGATATTGTTTCTGTTTTGGCAATTGAAATTTTGTTTGCACCAAAATGACCAAAATGAATCAAATCTAATCAAAAAATGGTTACTGAGCTGGAGCAGTTTACTTTTCAATGTAAGTTAAATGAAGCCAGAGCAAGTCAGACCAAAACCTTTTCCATGAGCACTTCCCAGTTCGAAGCCTCATAGTTCTAAAGTTGTCATGTGACTGGAGAAATTACCAACAGTAGTTCAGCATTCGTCTCCATGTCAGGATTCGTCATAACACGTTTTAGACAAAAGAAGTGAGGGGAAGTGTTTTTGCTGATTCGAGTTCCTCATCTGAGCATGGGGCTAAAAACAACCCAGTGAGCAATTTTGTAACATGGTCAAAAAACAAAAAAGACAATACTTTATCACAATAGTTTGAATACAAAGGTGCCAGCTATGCATTCATAAATCGCTTTTAACCATTTTTTTCCTTCTCATTTATAAGTAAGTAAGTAATGTATCCCTTCAGCTGTAGAGAGGTTAGCACAGCTGATATAGGTTTTAGTTATTCTCTGCAAATTCAATTGACTACGGCTCCAACTAACCCTATTTTGAGGGGACTTGGCTCCGGTGCAGACATTTTGGCACACGTAAATTAGAATTATATGTATTTCTGTATGTGTCTTTCGTCAACATGAGAACCGTGTTTGCCGTTTTCCTCTGTTTTTTTTCATACAGAGATGCATTTGTCGCTACCTATAATAATTATTGATTTGCTAATTAGAAAAAAGTTGGATTGATAAACACAAAAAAACAGCAGCACAAAACTAGTGGGCGTTTTGTTTATGCATAATTTAGTTGAAAATAGTCATAAATAAAACTTTCTCTTGGACAAGTTTAATGCCACAGTGAAGCATTTTCTATAAATTATAAACCTTATGTATCTTCAATGTGTGAATGTGCGGTGGCTGAGTGGTTAGCAGTCTCGTTTCTCAGGTCTTGGGTTCGAATCCGGGTCAGAGCAGGGCGTCTCTGAGTGGAGTTTGCATGTTCCTCCATTGTCTGTGGAGGTTTTCTCCGTGTGCTCCGGTTTTCCCTACCATTAAAATACATATGCCGAACACCCTCCCCAACTCTCTCTCGCTCTCTCTGGGGCTACGACTCCGAAAACAAAAAATTCAGAAATAAATTGTGCAAAACTTGATTTTATTTGTAATTATTTAGTAATGATTATTATTTGTAGACACATTTACCAATATATTAAACTGGATTCATATTTAGCAGTATTTTAAACTGTAATGGACCCTTCCTCAGTGGCCTCAGTCTCTTTTATATATTAAGTTTCTCTACCACTGCAGTTAAAATGATAAAATATCTTTAAAAAAACTAATTTGTACTCAGATAAACCATAAGTGGGCCTCACAGCGAGAAGGGCATTTTAAATTCGCACCAGAGCTTTGTGTTTATTTCAGATCTCGTTTGGAGGAAGTGAAATCTGCCAAAAGGATGTGGGTAAAAGTCTCAGAAGTAGAAACGCTTCTGAAAGTTGTTATTCTTGGATTTGGAAACACAATTTAGATTTGGTTTTTTGAATCGAACAACTAAAAAAAAATCTGTATCTCCATACTTTAGAAGAAGAAAAATGTCAACGTGGCTAACAACAGGTGAGGGATTGGACCAAAAACACAGACATAAAAAAGTCAAAGGAGAGTCTGAGAACTACATCTCAACATTAAAGCTGAGGTGCCTAACTTTCAAACAACAACAAATGTGCTATGGGATAAATCCATCTCTCCACAACACGTTTCATTAGGTTTTAATCATAGACTGTAAATATTAGTTTTACTTATAATATTTGTTGTAATCAGAACAAATTACTTTTCTTGGTGCAGCAGAACCTCTATACATTTAGTAAGCAATCTTTATTTATATACCGCATTTCACATTTGTGGGCATTTGTCTCTCACTGCACTCAGAGAAGGGAGCGGGGCCAGAACAGGAGGCGCATGCCAGAACTATTGTACATATTTTTAGTGTTTGGGGAAACCGGAGCACCTGGAGGAAACCCACGCAAACACGGGGAGAACATGCAAACTCCACTCAGAAAGACCCTGCTCCGACCGGGATTCGAACCCAAGACCTTCTTGCTGAGAAACGAGAATGCTATCCACTCAGCCGCCCAAATGAAATTCAAAGTTAAAGGTATTTATGAGGATTTTCTCAAATTTTAGGAAAGAACGGCCCAGCTCTCCACAACTCTCTGGTCTTATTGGACGAGCACGTATCGCCAGAATGATTGACAATTGAGAGAAACCAATAGTCTTGATGAAAAAAGATGCAGGAGATTAAATGGAATCCCTTGAAATTAAGAAAATAAATAATTTGACAGATGATAAAGGGCTCATCTCCTATTTTTAATCCATTTAATCGATCAATTCCACCTCCAGACAGGGCCTTTCTGTGTGGCGTTTGCATGTTCTCCCTGTGTCTGTGTAAGTTTCCTCCGTGTGCTCCGGTTTGCCCTCAACAATTGTACAGTGTTTGTGATACTGTAGTAGATGCTGTATACCTCTATGTCTACTTTTTTAAAATACTTTTTACACTTGGTAGCACCATATACCAAAACAAATTCCTGATTTGTGACTTCCTGTTATGTACAATACAAATAATTCTGATTCTGATAACTGAAATACTTAATTAGCCACATTAGAAAGGAACCCAACTCATGTTCCTGAGCTGTATTATTCATGAAAAAAGTTAGGTACCCGCGCTTTAAGTGAGAACAAACATAACATGAACAAAATCTATTGTACTTTGACTTTACTTACAGTATGTGACATCACTGCATCCTGTTCAGAGACAGGCCATAAACACAATCCATTCACAGACTATCATAGCCCTGTTCACACCAGCCCCACTTGGCCTTTCTCTAAGGGTTAGGGTTAGGGTTTCTCTAAGGCCAAGTGGGGCTGGTCCTCTACTCGGCCTTTCTGTTCTGCTCAACTCGACTCTACTCTACTCTACTCTGCTGTATTCTACTGTACTCCACATTGCCCTACTCTACTCTACTGTATTCTGCTGTACTCCACTCCACTCTGCCCTACTCTACTCTACTCTACTTTACTCTACTTTTCTCTACTCCACTCTCCTGTATTCCACTGTACTCTGCTCGGCTCTGCCTTACTCTACTCTTCTGTGTTCCACTGTGCTTCGCTCTGCCCTACTCTACTTTACTCTACTCTAATCTACTCTACTTGGCCCTACCCTACCCTACTTTTCTCTTCTCTACCCCACTTGATATGATAAAGTTTATTAATATCACAATGGAGAAATCTACAGACTCTACTCTACTCTGCGCAACTCTACCTGGTTGTACACTTTAGTGTCTGGTTCCGTATCCTAGCAACAACAAACCACAGTACAGTAAAGTAGAGTAGAGTACGGTAAAGAAGAATGGAGTTGAGCAGAGTAGGTTAGAGTATAGTAGAGTACAGTAGAAAATAGTAGAATAGAGTAGAGTAGAGTAGGGCAGGGCTGGGCTAAGGGCTGATAATACTGTTTAAGTGTATAATTCTGTAAGTGCGACTTTCCCTTTCGTTTCACAAACACCTTCAGCCTGTGATGGATTTGTGTCAACGCCATCTGTCACTCCGCCCTGACAGTCCCTGGTTGTACTAAAGTGTTCTAAGTCACAGCGATTGGCCAGAGGGATGCTGGAAGCCATGGTTACCAAGGAAATTCTCCATGCTGGTGGGTGGATACGGTACCAGATACTAAAACGCAGTGGAAACACAACTAGGTAGAGCAGAGCCGAGTAGGGTCGGTGGAAACGGGGCGTCTCTTGACCATACACTTAGACCCTGTCCACACGAAGTCAAGCTCAGGCCTAAACGCAAAAATACTTTATCAATCCAGTGTATCGTCCATACGAGGCCGGCGTTTTGGGGGGGTGTAAACGAACATTTTTGAAACTAGGTCCCAGAGTGGAAAGATTTCAAAACTCCGTATATGCCGCTTTGTGATGTTGGTGCCCTCCGGTGTCTCCTGTCTGTATTCCGATTTAGTTTTTTTCTGCAAATGACAACAAACTAATTCTGATTCTGAATTAGATCACATTGAGCTTACTTTCAATATAAGTCAATAGGAGCCAGAGAAAGTTGGAGCTAAAGTTCTTCTTCCCTATTGTGCTTCATTGAGCTATTAGCATTGTCCATCTTTTACAAACAGTCTATGATTTGCCTGTAATATTATGATCATTTTCGAGTGACGTCTGGAGTAAAAATAGCGGTTGGTGGTTCGTCCGTCGCTTTGCCCCATGTCCCTGCTGTGTTTCTAATCGGGTTCAGGGATTAGTGTCCCGCGGCTCCCTCTGGACTTTTCTCCTGTGAACTGAGAGAAGTTTTCTACAGAGGCCCATTCACACTAAAGCCAACGCTAAATACAGAAGAGCTGCAGTGCGGAGAAGCATGGAGGCTTTAGGACCGTCAGAGCTGTTGGGTTGGGTTCTGAACAAGCACTAATCAAATCTAAATCTAAATTAAATCTAAAGCATTTTTATTTAATTGTAGGATGTGACAGTCTATGGATGCAACATTGTTTTTTTTAGTAAAACAGAACGTCTACCTTTGTGTTGTTCCTAATTTCCGGTGATTATTTGGTTATTATTTTTGCATGTTTGAAATAAATGAATATAAAAATAAAAATATTTTTAAAAAAATAAGTTAATTGATATTGCATCTCAGTTTGCAGCAAAAACCTTTTAAGTGCTACTCATTAAAGTACAATTCAACAAATACAAATTACAGAAAAAAACATCAAAAGTGTTTTAAATATAAAAAGAAATTATATGAAAATGAGTGAAAAGAGTTTTTATAGCAATTATGCAAGTCTCGGTTTGTGACAAGACTTTGAAAAAAATTCATAGAAAAATATGCCATTTAATGCTGAGTTCTAAAGAGTAACCACCCAGCTGTGATGTTATTTAGGCAAGGCTAGTTTATTTCTATAGCACAGTTCATACATAAGGCAAACAAAACAAGATTCATACATCCTCCTGCAGGTGGTGAGCTAGACTGTTCTTATCATCATTTCACTGCATGTAACGTCTGGGTCTGGTCCCTGTGTTTGTGATTACAATCGGTTGACTTTCGACCGACCAATCAGAGAGCGCGGGAGGCGGGTGTTGTAGTTAGTTGTGGGTGATGTCAAGAGTTTACGCCGAACGGGCAGGTTGTAGTTTGGTAATGGCGAAAAATGTGATAGTAAAGTAATCTGGTCTGGTTCTATCAAGAAATTGAAGCCGGAGCAAGAGGAATGTTTAGCAAATGTAATCGCTGGCAAAGATTGTGGCGCTACTCCCCACGGGCTCTGTTAGCTGCAAAGGAGATGGCTAGGCTAAATGCTAAATGCTAACAACAGACTCGGGCGCACTACAAACGTCACAGTAAACTCAGATCCAATCGTTTCAATCTGCAAAAAGAGTTAATCCCTCCCACTGTAAATGGAGCTCAATGGTGCACCTCCAGACCTTAGATGTCATTTGTACTATGGTGTGGTACGACCAGGCTAGTGGTGAGTCCACAGGAGTTGAGATCTTTCAGCGGGGGCTTCAGGCAAAGTGGGGTTAAGTGTCTTGCCCAGGGACACAACGACAGTCTTGGGAGTCTTGAAGTAGATCTCATGATGGGCTCGAACCCACAACCTTCAGCCTCAAAGGCCAATTCTCTACCAACTGAGCTACTGTCGCCCCAGATTCATACATAATAATGAATAATTGCCATGTGCTGAAAAAGACGATGTGGAACTTAGTGATTTTTTTTTCATGTAGATTGACTTTGAAATTATAGAGAAATTATCCATAAACTTTTTTTTGCCGCCGGAAAAACTGGGAGAGCCGACCGCATCGCTCGCTCTCTCTCTTCTACTTTATCGAATTTATTTTATTATATTTTGTTTCTTTTTTAGGTTTGTATTATGTTTTGTTGTTCTTTGCTCATTTCTCCTCTGGGGATGAGATATTTTTATTCCTTCTGTTCTGTAACTTCTGATGCAACCCTGAAATGTCTCCACTGCAGGAACATCCAAGTCTCTTAATCTTAATCCTAATTTCAATCTAAAATACGTTTCTTTGTGCTCAGGTGAAGGTGTGTTTCTCGGAGGAGCGTCTGGAGCAGCTGTGCGAGTACCCGGCCGAGAGCTCCGTGTGGCCGCCCTCGCCCTTCCCCCTGGACCTGGACTGGGACCCGGACCTGGACCTGCGCATGGACAGCCTCCCCAAGACCACCAGGAGCGTGGGCACGGCCATGACCCGCGGGCTCAGGGCGGGACCGTGCCATCCGCTGCTCAAGAAACACAGCGTCTGAGTTCTATACGCCCACAGTTTTACACACATTTTTAAGTGGAATCAGGACAGAACTGGGAAAAAAATGTGGAGTTTAAAAGCATCAAACCAGGATTGCTCAGAATGAACCCGGGATTAAGATATCTCAAACATGACTTGGACGTACAGAAGCGTCAAGGTTGTTGCTTAGTAAAACTTGGTCATTTATGATTGTGTGTTTGTGTGAATGGATGATGTAGCGATGTGAGGCAAGGCAAGGCAAGGCAAGTTTATTTGTATAGCACAATTCATACACAAGGCAATTCAAAGTGCTGAACAAAACAAGAAAGCATTAAAATCATAAATAATCACAGTACATAAAAAAAAAAAAGATAAAAATATAAAATCCCTCAGTTGTATGCACAGCTAAACAGAACCGTCTTTAACCTGGTTTTAAACATTGTCAGAGAGGAGGCCTGTCTCACATCTTCAGGAAGACTGTTCCAGATGTGACCAAGTTCTTTTTTTTCCTTTTGTGTCCATACGCCGCAAAAAGTCACACAAAACCAAATTCAAGTCGACAAGTCAAAAATTGCTTGAATTACGTAGGTTACATTAATCTAGATTTTGGTCAGTTTTGTCTGTCTGGGAACAACTTTTGCCAAGAAAAGCAACACAAACTAACACACAAATTCTCACTTTGACTGTCCCACTGGAGAGTCCTGTTTTAAGGCAGTCAAAAAATACTTATACTCTTTTTCATTCAAGAATTTACTGCCTTTAAAAACCATAACGGGAGACATAATGTGGTAAAGTCTGCACCGCTTTTAACCATTTTATGTATGTTAAATCCTCTTACAAGCTTACACTATTCCGCGTGGGATTTGATAGCATTGCACAGGCATCTCTGTTCTCTAAATGATGTGACTACTTGTCTCATAAAGGGGCAGAGTGCAGAGTGAGCTGGCAAGACTCCGGAAGTGTGCAGACTGATTTCTTTTATTACCTTGTTTTAGGTCAGAATTGAGTCCTAGATCTATGCTACAGCTGTCGAGATGTCCTTCCTCAAATGGGAGAGATTTTCAAGTTTCTCAGGTCTTGTTCACGAGTCGGAGCAGCGTCTCCAGTCAGAGCTGTGTCAGACGGTTGTGGTGAAGAGGGAGCAGTGTCTACAGGCAAAGCTCTCAATTTACTGGTTAATCGTCTCTGCTTGGACTGCTACCCCCGCGACCCGGCAACGGATGAGGCGGAAGAGAATGGATGGATGGGTGTCATAGATTATCACTATAGCAGACACAAGCATTCTTCTTTAACACCATTATCACCACGGCAACGGATGTAGGCTGAAAACTCTTCAATGTTACAGAGCGCACTTTGAATTCTGATGTATATTTTTGAGCAAATGAAATGTGTGTATAATAGTCTGCACAGAAATGGAAGGATATGATTTTAGGCTAAATTATTAATGAATGTATGGTGTGATACTAGGTACATGATTGTAAAAAAGGTGGAAAAGATCACTTGTCTATGCAAATATTCCATAAAGTTGTACATATTGTGTTTTAGTCTCACGATTGTGGATGCCTTCCTCTGAGGGACATTGAGCTCTCAGTGCCTCCAGTGTCGGATCAAACTGATGACATAAGAGCACCAATAAAATCAGCATTTTTAGTCTTGTTTAGTCTTGTTTAGTCTTTGTTGTCGTAGTCTGTGTGGCCCTCTCTCACTGGGACAGGGGCAGTGCAATTATCTTCTTCTCAGGTGAAATCACACCGAAGTTGATACAGGTGTAAAAAGCACAAGTCTGGGATAGATTTAAACAAAGTGACTGTATTTTAATAAATAAATAAACATGAAAATATGTTTCTGATTCATTTTGGCATCTTGAACACATCAAATATATAAGCAGGCAAGGCAAGGCAAGTTTATTTGTATAGCACAATTCATACACAAGGCAACTCAAAGTGCTGAACAAGATAGCATTAAAATCATAAATAATTACAGAACATTAAAACGAAAGATAAAAATATAAAATCCCTCAGTTGTATGCACAGCTAAACAGCACCGTTTTTAACCTGGTTTTAAACATTGTCAGAGAGGAGGCCTGTCTCACATCTTCAGGAAGATTGTTCCAGATTTTAGCAGCATGAATCTGAAAAGCAGCCTCCCCATGTTTAGTCCTGACTCTGGGCACTAACAGGAGTCCAGTCCCTGTGCTCCTCAGAGTCCCAGCAGGAGTCCAGTCCCTGTGCTCCTCAGAGTCCCAGCAGGGGTCCAGTCCCTGTGCTCCTCAGAGTCCGGGCTGGTTCATATGGGACTAACATGTCACTAATATATTTTGGTGCGAGGCCATGGAGAGACTTTTACACAAGCAAAGCTGTTTTAAAGTCTATTCTCTGAGCCACAGGAAGTAGGGCACGTATAGCACAGTTCATACACAAGGCAATTCAAAGTGCTCAACAAAACAAGAAAGAAAATCACACAAGTTGTGAGAGGACAAATGCCCAAAAAAAATATGACTCGTCTGTGAAAGGCGGTATATAAATAAACATTACTTACTTATTTAACTTACTTACAAGGCATAAATAATAAATAATGACAGAACATTAAAAAGAGTGAAGATAAAATACTTCAGTTTTATGCACAGCTAAACAGATCTGTTTTCAATCTGGATTTGAACATTGTCAGAGAAGAATCCTGTCTCACATAAATCCAAAAACCTGCCTCACCATAGAAACATGTAACACTTAAAGCTACACAAATACACACATTCCAATCCAAACACAACATGGATTTAACCACGTAACTTGTTCCTTGCCCTAAAAAAGTCTGTATACTAGTTTTCACATTCATGTCATTTTTACCTCTGTCACTCATCCTTAGGTAAGCTCTCAGCCAAAAGCATCCAGTATTGACACTATATAATGTTTTATGATAGGATGAGGACAGCATGTTGTAAAACGCTGTATAAATCTGACAATTTACTATTTACACTGATGGGAAGGAGAGAATACTTCACTCTTTTACTGTCTAATACCTTAATCAACTAAAATGAATGAATGAATAAAACAATTACTGAAATTGAATGCACAATACATTAAATACAATAGAAAAAACAAGCAAAATACAAATGAATTGAAATAAAACAAATTGTGAAAAACACAATGGCACCATCTGCTGGTCACGTGTGGTCAGTGCAGTTACCGGAAGTGACGCCACACAACGCGACTGGCGCTGCTTTATTGAAATCTTCATAATGATGTTTTTCACGTGAAACTTATAAATAACACTATCTTTGGATAAACTCAGGGAGGGACGGATTTAACGTAAGGAGATTTCATTCTAAAAGGTGAGGAACACGCCATGTTTTTTTGCTAGCGGCTGGTTAGCATGTTAGCACGTTAGCTCCACAGACTGTTGTTAGCATGTTAGCTCCACAGACTGTTGTTAGCATGTTAGCACCACAGACTGTTGTTAGCATGTTAGCACCACAGACTGTTGTTAGCATGTTAGCTCCACAGACTGTTGTTAGCACGTTAGCTCCACAGACTGTTGTTAGCATGTTAGCACCACAGACTGTTGTTAGCATACCTTCCCGCTTCCGTCAATGGACCTTTGTTTTGGAGCTAGCCTCTTTAGCTTCGCACAACAATCTCATTATTTCCACATTGCCCGGTGGGATTTGCTAACTTTGTGAATGAAGTAGCTCGTTTCTTTCATGACTTGAGCCGTGCAGTTGTTTAAATACCTCAACAAATCAATGACGTAATAGTACAGTGCAGCGATAGTACACACAGCACAGTACAACATATTCCTGACATGTATGTAGTTATTGTAAACATACAGGCATTTATAATACAGAACAAATGTAATACTTTGTCACTAGAGCAGTGGAAGAATCTTCTTTCTAAATGATCTTTTAACCTTCAGTTTAAGCTGTTATCAGTACTACTAGTTACAGTACTACATATCTGATATTTACTGTTATCAGTACTATTGTATTATTTCATATCTGATAATTCTGTCTTCCACCAGTCACTTTACCTGTTGATATCTTACTGTATTATTACATATCCATCTGATCATTCTCCCATTCAAGTCACCTTACCTGTTGATATTATTTCTGATGTTTATTCTGCTCATATTCATATCTTCATATTCTCCGCTGCTAATGTATAGATAGCTTTTATTACAGACTCGTAGTCCAAAACACAAAAAATAGACAAAACACAACACACTAAAAACAGACAACATAAAACAATTAAAAGTTTTATGTATAATATAGACATCTGTAAATACTCCGAACCAAGTGCAATTGTAGCCCAGATTTTCTTATTTTATTTTATTTTATTTTATCTTAAATTTATTGTCTATTATCTTAAATAATAGACTTTGATGTGTGCAATCTGAGTGCTCTTATTTCCTTTCTCTGCTGTAATGTGCAACGATGACACTGACATTTCTCCACTGTGAGACTCATAAAGGTTTATCTTATCTTAAGACGTGTGCATCCTTCTACATAAAACAATGTTGATTCAAAAAATAACAACAATAACAATATCCTAGCAACGGTTGTCATGATCATAGACGAAGGGGACAACCCTAAAGACAACCCAAAGCCAAATTTTCCAACAAAACATAAATGTGTGTTATGTTTCAGCAACTCCATTCAACATGTTGGTGCATAATGGGTCTAATGTAACTTCAAATAATTTGGCTAATTCAAAGATCTTTGTCCAAAATGGAGGTTTACTGTTTGTGTTCAATGCTGTGTGTTGCTTTGGTGAAACATCAGACACAGTCATATGAAACCTATAATTTAACTTTTATGAGGTTTAACTAGGCCTGTCGCGATAGTCAATAAATCAATTAATCGCACGATAAATAAAATTTGCTCAATAACTTTTCTGGCCGCGATAAATCCCATTTGCAGCCTGTTTGTTTCCCCCGTCGCTCTCGGGTCAGAGAGCCGCAAAGTGGTCACGGGAACATTAGCGGTCTAGCAAGCAGACGGAAATTACTCAAAAATACAAAATACAGCCAAAACAGGACCTAAACCAGGACTTAACCAGGATTGACAATGGGGGACACAGTAGTTGTGAACATATGCCGGCAGCTGAGTTCTCATTCAGGCTTGATTAGTGACTATACTAGCGCAGCTAGCGTTAGCGTGTTTGCCGATGCAGAAGTACCGTACCATACCAATAAAATAAACTTATGGCGCACCTCCGTGAACACATACTGCTGTTATATAAAGTCTCTAGAAGGTCTCTGAACACAGAGATGCTGCAGACTTGCATTCTTGGAGTAGAACTTTACACAAAAAACCCGCTAGCTTAGCTGTTAGCATCAAAGCCCGCCCCGCTACTTCCGGTGGGCGCTACCGCAGCAGGACTTCTGTACGCCCCATTGGTGAACCCACATGTCAGTCACTTGTCATTCGCCTGGTGTGGGGAGGTGGGACTACTCCTGAGAGATCCTGTCTTAAACCACACAAAATCAACATGTTGGTATTTCTTTCTCGTAATCTGCCATAAAGTCTGAGAAATTATTGACATTTGAGGCATCTGTTTCATATTTTCTTTACAAAGGTCCTGGCAGTTTTATTCCTGGTCATTTTTTGTTAAGAGACTGAGTATTTTATTTATTGTTTTTGGTTGTTTGTAAATTTATTGTGTTCTAGCGTTAAATATTCGTTAAAAATAAAAGTTTATTTCTCTTTGTAAAGGTGTACCTGCATGATCATTGTAATCGATGCAAATGATCTCAGAACGACAATATAATCGCTTATCGCAATAATTTCTGAGACAATTAATCGTCTAGCAAAATTTGTTATCGTGACAGGCCTAGGTTTAACACTATTTAACTATTGTAAGGTATAATTACTCAGCGTATGTACATTTTTGCGCTTCCTAAAGATGTGACTGTGTCTTTATGTAGTATGCCGTGAAAATAATGTAATTATATTTTGTTTCTTTCAACAAACAGTGTTTCTGTATTTCCAGTGTCAGTAACCAGTTTTAGCAATGAAAAAAATGAATAAATAAATAAATATATTGCTTAATTCTGATGATGTAGTGAAAGACATGACTGTTACTTGAGACTTTTTCAAAAATACATTGATTTTAAATGGATCAGTCAAAAAACTGCCCTGGTTGTCCTAAAAGGTTCAGAATTCTGGTCATGTGTTAAACAGCATTATACCATGGTCAAACTACTGTTGATGTATCCTTTGTCCATCCATCCATCCATCCATCCATTTTCTACCCTTTAATCCATTTCTGGGTCAGGGGGGTGGCAATCAGAGATGCCACCCAAGTCTCATAGCACCAGCCCCTCACTGACCCTCTGCGGGTGGTGAGTCCACAGGAGCTGAGATCTTCCAGCGAGGGCTTTGGGCAAAGTGGGGTTAAGTGTCTTCCATTCTTTTAATATTTCTATGACAACAATCCTGAGTTCTCACAATGAAGAAACTCCTCTATATCTACTGATGCTATAATCCACTCTGTTGGTGTTGTTGTCAGTGATGGCGGCTCCGTTACCTCAGAAGCCCGGCCTGATGCCCCCTCAACAGCAGCAGCAGTTTGTCCCCGGAGCCACAGCTGCCCTGGGACAGCAGCCTCAGCCCGGCGCCATGAGGGAGATCTCCCCCGTGTTTCTCTGCCGCATCGGACAAGAGACGGTGCAGGACATCGTCACCAGGACCATGGAGATATTTCAGATCTCACGAGCCACTCAGGTTAGCAATGCCAAAAGTATAGAACGACTCGTAGTGAAACATGAACCCTATAAGAACAAATAAGATACTGCTCCTGATATGCTCCTTTATGTGCTGTTTACACGAGGACGCTGCAGCAGTAAAACGTTATATTTGGGTATTGGATTGTCCTGTTTACATGAAGAGGGTGTTTCAGGTGAAAGGGTTGATTCTACTTTTTCGTCCAAACAGAACCCACGAGAAGCTGTAGTTTGAGTTTCCATTTTCACTGCTGCTCTTAAATACAGAATGACGTTGGTTCTTTCCAGTGGGGGCGGGTCCCGGCTCAAAAATGTCCAAAATTAAGTGCGCTGACATACTTGCAATACCAAACCGGGCAGATGGGGCTGGACCCGGAATAAGGATTGTTCAATGCTAATGTAAAGCATCTTCTAACCTCTCGAAAAAGTCGGCTCTTGGTCCAAATGCTGAGGGGAGTGTATGTTTTTGGACCAGTCTAGTTTAGTCCTAGTGGAATTTTATAGGCACTCGTTAAATGAATGTGGCTCGTGCAGCTGACACATTCACAAATGTGTTTTTTCACATTTTCCAGCCCCTGAGGCCATTTTGGAAAGCCCCATTGAAGGCGAAAGTGATGTCACATTAATTTGAACGGCGGGGGCCCAGTCCCAATACTCTGCACCCTACACACCTCTACGAAGTGTGCATTTGTTCGAAGTGCACACCAGGGTTGGAGTGCGCAGGTTACAAGCGTGCAAAAAAGGCAGAATTGGGACAGTGCACACTGAGTGCAGGTTACGTCATCGACTCGTCAAGAGATGGTCATTTTCAGACCTAAACTTTATAAACATTAAAGGTAATTTTGTCTGACCCTTTGGAAAACTAAATGAATTGCTTCACACACGTTAAAATACATGTATATTAGTGGTTTCTAATTAGAGATAGCTGTATAATTTTAAGTTAAATGTGGGTAACTAACTATCTGGTCAGTTTTTATACATTCTAAGATTATTGTACTAAGTGTAAAGTTGAAATTGAATGTTATTTGAACGCTTGCTTTAAAAAGTTATTAAATTGTTAAAACACAATGTCCGTAATTCTTCATCAGACGTTTATGCTTCTTTCCAAGTAACATAGCAAAACTTATTTACACACATACTGCATATATATTTCAAAATGTATATTTAAATGCATTTTCCCGACGTTTTGGTGTGTACCGCAAAGAATTATGGGCAATATCCTTCGCCAGAGTGCGCATAGATGCAGGCTACGGCGAAGTGTGGATCAGGGGCGCAAAGGGGGCGGGGCCAAAGACCTCCCTGGAGAATTGGGACGCCCTACGCACTCGCACCCATTATCGGGAACGCGCAAATGAGGTGCGCGAGGGTGGAAGTGCGAGTATTGGGACGGGACCGGAGACAGGCGTGACTACGTCTGTTAATATTTACAGTCAATGGTTCTTTCACGTCTTTGTGGCGGCCTGAGGAGGATGTTGTTGAGGAAGTGATTATACTGGTGGAGTTTGGATGTGTCTTGTAAAGTTCCACTGCCCCCTACAGGCCGGCCACTAGAACTACATTGTTTTTCACAGCTGTGTCAATGCTGTGCACTTCAAATAAGAAGCCTGGACGTTTTTCGCAAATTTCTTTGCAGCGTCTCCGTAGCGTCTCCGTCTAAACTGGGCCTTAAAATATAGGTAGAGATAGATATATAGATACTTTATTGATCCCCGTAGGAGAAGTTCAGGTGTCCAGTAGCAGCAAAAATACAAAAATTAAACTGATCATTCTAAAAAGCTAAGAATAGTAATAATCAGCAACAGCCCTTCAGGTCACAGCAGCAGAGGTGGAGTAGCCTCTGGGTGGATGTCTCTCATAGAAGAAATCACATTTTCATATATCACAGTAGACATAAAATGGACCAAAATACACTCAGGACATCAAGACCGAGAGCAAGATAAGAAAGGGGCAGACAACATAACATTTTTTTCTTCTTTCTGCTTCTCCTTGTTTGTGTGACAGGACAAGTACATGAGACACTAATAAGATATACATGCCTTTAAAATGAGTATATTACACACTATCCTAGAGGCGGCAGAGGAGGCGGACCTATTAAGACCGAGAGGACAGTTGATCACATTAGCCTGACGATGTGGACTCACCGCAGCTCTGCTCAGCCAGTCTTAATTATGATGTGAAATATAATAATTATAAAGTGTGTGTGTGAGACCTGGACTCACAGCTGTGCTCTGGCCTCTGTCACGGCTCATCTGTCCTGCGTCTGCTCCGTGTCTTCAGCTGTCGGCTCCACTCTCACTCATCGCCGTCCGTCTAATTGTCACACTGTGTCTCTTTACAGCCTGTCAAAACTCATCAGGAGGAAATGGAGCTTTGGAAGTGAACCTTTTTAACAATGAAGTAGATCTAATAACTGGCCTAAAATGTTCTTGCGGCACTTTTTGGAATCGCATGACTGCACCATTATTTATCAGGATTTTGTTAAAGCTCGTAAGCGTCTCTTCTTACCGAGGAAACGTGGGGAATACCTCAAACTCTCTCGAGATTATGCTCTGAAAGAGGGGTGTGAGCTGCCTGTTCACCGTTTCTATTTGGATGTTCATCATAAATTTATGTTGTTGTGTGTTTTTTCCGCAGCTTCCGAACGGCGTGACGCAGAGCCAGGCCATGTACCAGGACCGCTTTGGGAAACTGCAGGAGCATCTGCGGCAGCTCGCTCTGCTCTTCAGGAAACTGAGGCTGCTGTACGAGCGCTGTGTGGAGATGACGGCAGATCTGCAGGAGGGGCCCGCCGAGGTGAGACAGAGAGAGAGAGAGAGACAGACAGAGACGGAGTCAGAGAGAGAGAGAGGCAGAGTCAGAGAGAGACGGACAGAGACAGAGTCAGAGAGAGAGAGAGACAGAGAGAGAGAGAGACGGAGAGACAGTCAGAGAAAGAGAGAGAGAGAGGGGGAGAGAGAGAGAGAGACACTGAGAGAGACAGAGAGAGAGGCAGAGTCAGAGAGAGACGGACAGAAAGAGAGAGACGGACAGAAAGAGAGAGACAGAGAGAAAGAGACACAGAGACAGAGATAGACGGACTGACAGAGAGACAGACAGAGACAGAGTCAGAGAGAGACAGAGAGAGAGACACACATAGAGAGAGACAGAGAGACAGTCAGAGAAAGAGAGAGAGAGAGACACTGAGAGAGACAGAGAGAGAGGCAGAGTCAGAGAGAGACGAACAGAAAGAGAGAGACGGACAGAAAGAGAGAGATGGACAGAAAGAGAGAGACGGAGAGAAAGAGACACAGAGATAGACGGACTGACAGAGAGACGGATAGAAACATACACAGAACTAAAACAAATTCAGCAAAAAGCAAAAACTGCAGTTATTTGAGGCATGGTAATTTCAGTAGATCTTCCCTCGATTCCACAGGAGATCGAAACCAGCTAAAAACAAAATTATTTCTGCTGATGAAAGTAGAAGATCCATTCTTTCACAATCTGCTTTCAGACTTCCCTTCGTCATAGTACACAATATTCTGCGGGTCTTGAAAAATCAGTCAAAGTTATTTTAAACAGCTGGCAATATGGGAGTAGCTGTCCAGAAAGTGATGTGAAGGACCGGGTTCACACTCCTGATGTTCGGTCATGGCTGCTAAACAAATGAATAACGGAAAAACAGAACGGTCAAAATACATTGAATTGAGATTAGATTAAATGAAATACGACTTAAAACTTGTATTTTTCCAAACCCATGCAGCTCCACGTTCAGGGAGTGCTCTCTCACAGAAACATTCTCTCCCGTTTGTGCTTCAGCTCGTGCCGTACGTCGGGGAGGAGCTGCTGTCCGTCAAAGTGGAGTCCTGCAGTCCGGCCGTGATTCAGGAGAGAAGAGAAGTCATGGAGGTCTGCAGGATTTACTGATGTCCCTTTGGAGAGGATTATTATTTAGGAAAACCTACATTTGATACAGATTTTACACAATTATTACTCTTAAAGATACTGCTCTCTTCTGCTAAAAATGGGCGTGTTCACACTAAAAGTTACAGAAGGGCCAAAAGTGAGATTTTAATAATCAGAAGATATATAATGTTTTTTATGTATCCAAACACCTCCTCTGTCTTTCAGAAGTTGCTAAATAGAGAACTTTTTTATACATTAGTTAAGTTTTTATAGTGTCTCTGTTTCTGTGTCTGGACCTGACACAGAAATGAGCTGAAGTTTGTTACATATTTTCAGATCCACATTTGATCAAGAGATTACTTTATATATAGTAAATCAAATAAATGTGAAACCAGCCCTTTTTTTTAAAGTCCATCCATCCATCCATCCATTTTCTACCCTTTAATCCATTTCTGGGTCAGGGGGGTGACAGTCAGAGATGCCACCCAAGTCTCATAGCACCAGCCCCTCACTGACCCTCTGCAGGTGGTGAGTCCACAGGAGGACAGCTGCTCTCTGAGTGTGAGCATAGCCTTGATCGTTTTTTAAAGTCAATTTTCTAAAAGAACTGATGGAAACCATTTTTCACGGGTCATTTACTTTTGTATTAATTCTTTTTTTTAAATGGTTCCTTTTTAAATGAAGCGATTTCCTGATGTTGTGTTGATGTGAATGTGTGGGAGTTCATCTGTTGCTTTGTCATCATTAGAATGATCCAATCAGAGGCTCTTCTGGTTGTTTAAAAGTTCGCCAAAAATCTATTTGTCAATTTCCCTTTTTGATTTTATTCACACTATCTCTTTGATACGTTGTTGTCTGAAACATTATTTGTTCCAATCTATGATAGTAAATTTAGTTTAGACTCTTTACTGAGAACACTCAGTAAACCCAATTCTTGTGTTTCATTAAACTGGCCAGTAGGGGGCGAATGAGCAGAGATGGGACAGTTTTGCTCCCATTGAAAACCATGTAAAGTCTGTTTTGGATTCAAAGGCTCTTCTCCTGTGCGCTGTACAGTTGTTGTAACAGTCTTAATCGGGGACACTCAATTCTAAGGAAGTACTAGAAAATATTTCTCAAATGAGTCTTGATTTTGGGCATTTTTGGGAAAAACAAAACAGAAGAAATTACTGCGTTTCATTGGGGTGGCCTGCAGGGGGCGCTTGTCTGGGAAAGCCTTGATCCACCTCGCCCGCCTCATTCCAGTGATGTTTTCAAAGTGTGTCCTGTCTTTCTCTGTATTTGTGCGGTTGCTACAAACGTACACCGCACACAAAGATGGTGTTTTGACAGCGCTTCTTCTTCTACTATATCTCCGTGTATAAACCCGGCAGACTGCACCGCCAGGATACGTCACGTCCTGTCCTACGTTTGTTATTCGCACCTCTGCCCTGACGTCATATGAAACACAAGAATTCTGTCAATTCTGCTAATAGTGTTTTGATTGTTCCAGTCAGACCAGAACACACTTTCTTCATCTTAAAACCTGTCACTTTTGCATAAGTTGAAGAACAAGCCCTGTGAGTCACTATCTCTTTGGGCTGAGAGCTGATTGGCTGAGGGAAGGCGGTCTTCCTGATCTAAAGCTTCGTCAGATGTGGAAACTAGTGATGAACTGTTCTAGAGCCTGGGACTAGTTTAATTTTGATTGTGGTTCAGAAGTTGAGTACCCCAGCTTTAATCTTGGATGTTCATCTTTGGAGCCTTGAACGTCCTCTGGTGTTTGGAAGCCACATACAGAATATCAATCAATCCAAAAACCTGCTTTAAAACTTGATGCGAAAATATCAACAATATCAAAGCAGAAATTACACTTGTTCTGTTCAAAGCTCGAGTTTATTCGATTGTTGTGAAATCTGCAAAACTGTAGTGCAGATTTTACACATTATTAGTATTATTATTATTATTATGTTCTGTAACTTAATAGTGTGAAAATCTGATGAAAACATTTTTTTTCATGTTCACACTGAGGCTGTTTACGTAAGAGATTGGACTAATACTGCTTCTAACAGTGCCTGGTACAGTCTGTCTTTCCTCTTGCTCTTCATCTGACGTTGCATTATTCATGTCACGCCGCTGCCACCAGGGGGCAGTGTCAGAGCACGAGCAGTAGTGTTTGGTCCGTGTCCTTGTGAGTAAATGTTGGAGATGTCCCGGCGGCCAGTGGATTTCAGGCAGGTTTAGAAACGGCCTCAGGGAGAGAGAAGCAAATCCAGGCCTCGAGCCACACGCGGGCAACTTCAGCGGCAGAAAATCCACCAGTTTTGTTGTGTTTGCGTCCCATTCAGTGAAAGAAGATCGTGAAAGTCTATTTGTACTTCTTTGACAATTTTCTATCCTGTGACAGTTGCGTAGCATTCCTCAATGATCATACTGGATACAAAGAACAGACCGTATTTGTCACACAGTTATGAATTTTGTTTTTTTCAACGTCAATTTCAATAAGAAAATGGCAAGTCAAACATTTAAAACCTCAACTCTATTCATAGTTATAGGCGTGAAATGAGGCAGTAGTTCTAGATTTTGTTGTATAGAATTTTTAAAGCATCTAGTTTTGGAGAAAAAAATAACGGTTAACGGCAAGATCTTTGTCCTTGAACTACAATACCCAGAATGCCCTTGGATTAAACTATGAGGGTTGTGATTGTACTGCTATCTATCTATTTATTATTATTATTATTATACTATTATTATACATTATATTTTGCTTAATGGTAAATGTGCGGCTTTTGTACAAACATGATTTTGCTTTGTTGTGTTATTTTTAGCTGAAAGAAACTCATCGCTCGTTTTAAAACCTGTCTCAAAGGTTCATGGGATTTGTAGTTTTTATAATTTAGGAAGTGATGTGTTCACAGCCTTGTACCTTTGCCCGTTCTTCAACATCATGACTTGTTTTAGATTTGAAATAAAACATTTCATGACAAATTACTGCGGAAAAAATAGTTTTTTTGCAATTTTGCGGCGTTTTTAAACTCTTACGATTTTAATTTTTCCACAGTCCACAGGCTCAAAAAGCGGATTTTTGCCTTCGGTCCCGGGAACTGGCCTCAGAGATGTATAACTCTGGAACTCAATTCACACTCTGACCATTGAGCTCACTGTCAGATCTAATCATTCAAATCTTAAATATAAATTATGGATTCAAGGAAACCATAAATCTATAACTAACTGTCTCTTTCTCGTCCGTATTTGTCAGATTTAACTGAACCTTCTTGTCTTTGTCGTTGCAGAAAGTGCGTCTGAAAAACCAGGAGATGAAGGTTCTGATGGATCAGATGAGGAACCTGCTGTGGGACGTCAACGCGATGCTAACGCTACGGAAATGATCTCCAAATAATAGAAAAACACGGACCTTCTGCAGGTTCGGTGAAAGGGGAGGAGCCTGATTCTGTCGTGTTTGGAGCAGCTACTTTTGTACAAATGAACCGACTGTAAAAGGGACATTTTTCCACTGGAGGGAAAAGCAGGAGTCACGGAGGCTTTTATTTAACACCTCTTTCTAAGTCACTTTTAAAAGAGTTGAGCTGGGCGTGCTTTTGAGTTTACACGTGGACCCCCGGAGCAGTCATTTTGACGGCTCCCATTCAAATCTATGGAATTCTGGACATGGTAAAAATTAGTTTGTTTTCCACCAGTTTTATTAAAAGTAAGTTATAAGATTTGGTTACACTTTAGACATCAATAATTAACAGCTAATTGAGTGATAATTAGTGAGCCCTAAGCTTTGCCCTAACACACATGGGAAAGTGTTTTTTTAGTAAGATGTAGAATAAGGACGAAAAGGTAATAATAATAATAATAATAATAATGCTTTTTCTTTCTTAGCCACTCAGCGCATTTCTAGACACTTTCGGTCGCATACATATCAAGTAAAAAGTCAATTCAAAGACAGTTAAAATACAAAGTAAAAAAAGCTTAATAAATACCAATCAAAAGCTAATTAACCATAACTGATACATAAATTACCACTTAATTAGCAGTTAATCAGTGAGGGCTGAACTAATGTGCGACCTCAGATTTTTACACTCACTTCACCTTTAATTGGTGCTAAAACTGGTGAAAACAAGAGTCCAGAACAGTCCAACCCCAGCAGCTCGGAGAGGAGGGACTTTACCTGCTGCAGAATGTTTCACGCAGTCAGAGTTAAGATCAAAAATGTACATAAGCGTGTTATAAGAGGAGTATTTACGCTTCCAAAACTAAACCGTCAATTTGACTGCTCTGGGAGTTCCAGTGTGTAATCTGTATCGAATATGGATACTCTGAATACTGCACTGACAGATGCCAATGTTTTCTCTGTTTAAAGCCGGGAAATCTAACATGTACCACTTTGAGTTTGTCCCAACAGAAAAAAAAAAACTTGAATAATTTTGAGAACAAATGACGCCACAATATACTGTCTTTATCTCAATAGAAATAATAGTATCTTTTCCATTACCGCTCTGTGAGTCACTTTTAGACACATTGGGCAGAGAGCTGATTGGCTGAGAGACGGTGGTTCTCTTTTGGCTAAAATAAATGTGAGACCCGTGCTGTTTTAGAGCCAGGGACTATGGATTTTATTAGTTCACAGTTCAATTTCTTTTGTGGTTTTGAAAGTCGGGGACCCCAGCTTTAAACGATAACAGTGAAAAATGAACTGCCAAAACCATTAATTTGATTCACTCACTCACACACGCTTAGTCCATCCCCACATTGTGTTTTTTTTTCTATACACACAAAACTTAGTAAACTTTATGGCAGCTGACGACAGAACAATGTACTTTATGTATTTGCATGTTCTTCCCATCATGAATAGCTCAGTGTCTGCATCAGCGACACAGACCGAGAATCACCTTTTTTCTGACTAAAGCGTCACAAGGTTTTTTTACCGTCACAAGTAAAATGGCGTTTATTGTCACAGTTCTAGTCCAAACTGTTAAACGCTTCTCGATCCAACGTGTGTTTGCTCTGGGACTGACGGCTGTAAATGTATTTTTGTATTTTTCGGGACTTTTTGTTGGGTTTCTTTGTGTTTGTACATGATTTCTAATAAAATGTGTGAAAGATCTGAGCTGTGTCGTGATTGAAGAGGCGGACAGGACAGTAAGGTAAGGTGCACTTTATTTACCCCCGTAGGGAAATTCATTCTCTGCATTTGACCCAGATCCTGATGCCACCAAGACTGACATCAGGAGCAGTGGTCGCCGTAGTAACAGCGCGCCGGGAACCCATCTCCAGATGTTGATGCTCGGCTTGGTCAGAACCAGAGCTGGAGGGTTTAACCTAGTGTGCATGTTTTTAGTGGTAGGGGAAACCGGAGTACCAGGAGAAAACCTACGGAAGCACGGGGAGAACATGCAAACTCCACTCAGAAAGGCCCTTCGAACCCAGGACCTTCTTGCTGAGAGTGCTAACCACTCAGCCACCGTGCCGCCCGACAGTAACAGAATCCTATCCCGCTTTCAGAATACTCATAACTATTCCATTACATTTACTGCTTTGAAGTATTTAGATTACAGTTACTTTCTGGTGCAGTGTTCAGATGTTGCTCATTTGAATACATCCTTTGTTGCTTTTTATTTAGTTGATCTAGTCCAGGGGTCTCCAGCCTGTAGCTCGCCACCCCCTTTCTGGTAGCTCCCCAAAGGATCCAAGAATTTAACACACAATTCTGAATGATTCACTTTTGAGACATGTCTATTTTAACGATAAATCTTGTCATTAAATCAGAAGTACTGTAATCATATCGTATGCACATGTGTTCTCCATGATCGGCTGTAGTTGTTATACAGACTACAACTGTAATGTGACTGTTAAAGAAAGTAGCTCTCTGCCATTTCTGTTTTTATCAAAGTAGCTCTCCAGTGGAAAAAGGTTGGGGACCCCTGATCTAGTCCATTGTGCTGCTGTTTCTTTTGTTTTGGTCCTGAAAGCTCCTCCTGTTTCTTTTCCACATCATTTTGAGCTCCTCCTGTTTCTCCGTTTGTTTTAAAGCAGATTCTGTGGGATTTGTGAACACCATCATGACAAATCACCTCTGACGAAAAAGGCAGAACAGGTAACTCAGCAGCGTAGCTTCTTCTTTCTGTTTGTATCAATAGAAGAATTTCTTGGCCTTAAACATAAACTAAACACAATTCACTTTTATCATTTAGGAAAATACTTTTGATTCAAGCCAAACCATTGTCAGATCTGTTTTGTCATTGTCAAACCAAAGAAATCTGCCCTAATTCTGAACACACTTATAGCTGATGAATTCAACATTAAAATAAAAACCCAAAGAATGGGTTGTTAAAAGTCATCAAGCTGACTGCCATTTAAATTAAAAATAGTTCCGTTTTAATCTGCAAAGTCTGAACTCTGCGTTGACAGCTGCGTGAGTCACTGTTAAGTTTTAAAAGGCCCCCGGGAGCTCGTCAGATGCAAATTCTCATCGTGTCTCGATGTGTAAACACTGAAGAGGCTGAAATATGAACTCGCTCCTCCCAGACACCACCACGAAACTAACCCACAGTCTTTTAAGGATTTTAATATTTATACAGTATATTCTAATGTCATCAAAGGATTCCCACTGGATTTCAGGATCAGTCTCCTCCATTTGTTGCAATGCAAATGTTTCTTTGTCTATCCATCCATCTTTGTTTGTATGTAAGCATAGTACAGACCCATTCGAAGAGATTTCTTTATTTTCATGATTTTGAAAATTGTAGATTCTCACTGAAGGCATCAAAAATGTGGAACTATGTACGTACTAAAAACAGTATGAAAAAACAACATGAATATATGCGTTATATTCTGGGTTCTTTAAAGCTGCACCTTTTGCTCTGATACTGCTTCACTCACTCTTCGCACATTCATTCTCTGGATGAGCTTCAAGAGGACCTGAAATGGTCTTTAACAGTCTTGAAGGAGTTCCCATGATGCTTAGCACTTGTTGGCCCCCTCACTCTGTGGTCCTGCCTCAAAACCATCTGGACTGGGTTCAGGTCCGGTGACTGTGGAGGTCATGTGGCCCAGCACCATCTCTCTCCTTATTGGTCAAACAGCCCTTACACAGCCTGGTGCGGGTCTACAGCAATAGCCATGAGAAGACACTCAGTGAAGGAGAAAGTGTGTCCAAACTTTTGGTCTGTACAGTATGTGTGCGTGTATCTAGATCTCACATAATTTCTAGGCAAGGCAAATGTATTTTTAAAGGTATTTATTATGATTTAAACACAAAAACAAAACTCATCAATGCTCACAGTTGTGTGAGCATTGATGAGTTTGGAAACATGTTCTGCCTTTGTATAATGTGAATGTGACAATTAAACACAATTAAAATGTGTTTTTAATTGTGTTGAAAGCCCTTCTCCCACTGACGAACAACTATGTTCTGTTTTATTTTTATTCTTAAGTATTTTTCAGACATTGGATATTAGTAGTAGTAGTAGTAGTCCTCTGATCCCTCAGCACTGACAGCGGGGGTCTGGACCTTGGAGCTTGGGCTTCCTCTCTCCTCTGGGTCCTGTGTGGTCTTCTGTGTGATCTCCTGGTGCAGACTGCTCCTCGGATGGTGCTTCCTCAGCTGGTTACACTCATGTTATTGGTCAATTACCATATTTTTTTCGCACTGTCGGGCGCATATAAAAGCCTTTGATTTCAACAGTGAGCTTTATAATCTGGTGCACCTTATATATGAAAATAAAGGTATAATTTATAATGCGTCTTATAATCAGGTGCGCACTAGAGTACGAAAAATACTTATATTCAGAAGTCAGTCAATAAAATCACATCCATTTCTCTATGTATCTATAAAAGACTATAAATCGCTACTTTTTTCTACTGCTTTGACCCCTTTGAAGATTGAGGGAAGCTAACAAATAAGCTGTTAAACTTGTCATTAAAATATATTGTGACTAGCTAAAACAGTGCTCGCTACATTACAACATAAAAACCTTATACTCAGGTGCGGCTTGTATGTGGACAACTTTGATTTTCTTTTCAAATGTAGGTGGTGTGGCTTGTATACAGGTGCGGCTTAAAGTCCAGAAAGTAGCCAAACCAGCGGCTACACAAACAAACGTGAAACCAAATGATTATAACCTGCTTCTAAAGCTTTTATGTCGCCTTGAAAAAGAACAATGACTCCAGACCGAACCACAGAAAACACACTTTTTGCTTTTATAAACTTTTATTCATTTTACACTTTGCAATCATCTCGAACCAGCCCGTTTCCGCGGCAACAGTCACGAAAACACTTCTTTTCACTTTGGTCCATCCTTCATCTTGTTCAGAGGAAACGTTCATTGCTTTCAGTCAAACTCCAGGGTTCCCAGGATTATTCCGTCCATTTTTGTCGTTGTGGATTTGAATCGGACGCTTCGTCGCGGGTCTCAGTCCAGAACAATCCACCAGGGTCTGTCTTCCGCACGAACAAAAGCATTAACGCTGCAAACCGTCTAGATCAGCTCAAACCACCAATTACAAACTCTTGATTGTATTTCCGTAGATTTTGAAGCTCTCTGTCGACGGAACGAGAGGATTTAATCTTGATATATTTCACTGTTTTGGCCTTGTTTTAGAGCTGAAGAATGACAGCTGTATTTTCACCCCCTTTATGATGAGTACATGTCTGGGTCAGTCGGCGATGAGAGCTACCACCCAATTCTCATAGCATCCAAAAAATGAAACCAAAATCATCACAAAATCTTATATCGTCTGGTATAGAAGAACCCAATACTTTTATATCTGCCGAGAAGACGAGATGAATCTTCCTAATCTCTCAAAGCACCAGTCCTACCATCTCCTGCGGGGGGGCGGGGGCGGGGGCTTGGTCTTTCAGTGGGGCAAAGTGAGGTTAAAGGGGACGTGTCTTGCTCAGGGACACAACGGCAGCAGACTTCAGTGAGAGCAGGTGACATGAGTCGTGAGGGATCGAACCCAAAACTAGGTTCAAAGACCTCATGAACATTTAAGGATATTAGTGTCTGCCCTTATGGACCAACGCCTCTGTGTGTGAAGTTACCATTGTTTTTCTTGTGTTTGAACGGTTTGATTCTCTGATCTGCTGTTGGCGAATCGACAATGTTGTAAAGTCTTTCGAGATAACTTCTGTTTTAGTGATTTTTGGCGATTAAAAAATACGTCGAGTTGAATTTGAACCAATGCTCTACTAACTGAGCCACTGTCATCCATGAACGAAAACACAAAATCTTTTCTTAATATATCTTTAGAAAGCACCAATATATTCTAGACAATATTTTCCAAAGGAGACTAATCTAATTCGGCAGATTAGTATTTATACCTTTTATTATTATTTTTAGATTTATACATATATAAATCTAAAAATAATAATATATATGCACACGGTTTTTCATATTTGATTTTTAATGATTTTACTGTTTTACTATGGATTTGTTTTAATTAGTATTTTATTGTGCAGCACTTTGGAAACTGTTTATGAAATGTGGATTGGATTGGATACTTTTCTGATATTTGACCAAAATTGGGGTATTTTTCTCAATTTATTATTATTACTTTATTCACACATATTTCTTATCTATGTTCAATTTAACATGATTATTTATTATTCATTTAATTTGATACTTTTGTTATGTTTTTCATATATACATTTATATATCTTGCATATCTTGTTTTGGTTATGTATTTCTTACTAGTCATAAGAAAATGAAAATAAAAAGAACTGAAGAGCCACACGGTAACAAAAGCTAGGACATCCAGAAGCTCAAGTCTGGGGAAAGAAGGCACCGGATTGGTCATCTTTATCAAAATAAATAAATAAAAACCATGAATCAAGCAGAGCACTACAATCCATTCTTTCAAAACACAGAATTTTGGGTTTTCGTCTTTTTTAAGTAAATTTAAGGAGCAAAAATCTGCCTCTAGACTTAAACATGTCATAACTCACATCTGCTCAAATAAAAAAAAAAAACAGCTCGGTCATTTCAACTTGTCTAGACTTGGTTCTTTGCAGCGTTTCTCGTCACTTTATGGCAGAAGGTCTTTAAACTGTCCGTCTCTGCTCCTCCGTTCCTTCTCTTCAGGCCTTCTCCAGGTCTTTGTATTTCTTTCGGAGGACGGACACTTGGTCTTTGAAAAGCACCGGGTCCAAGCGAAGCTGCGAGTGGACGAGCGGCATGAAGCCAAACCAGCTGGCAAACGCGTTCACGCACTCCTGACGCTGGTTGAAGTGCTCGGGGTTGGCCCACGCCACGCTCCTGGTGCCCTGAGAAGACGAGCAACATGTGTTTTAATATGTTTGTTCACCTGAAGAATAAAGTAAGTAAGTAATGTTTATCTATGAAGCGCATTTTACAGACCAAGGTCACCCAAAAGCGCTTTACAATGTTCAGATTTCAGATATTGTTCCAATCCTTCCACACACGGTGATGACAGAAGTGAGTCCAGAACACACTGGACCATCAAAGCCTCTGACCCAACACCATCCATTCACTCTCTCATATACATTCAGATCTATTGTGCATGTTTTTAGTGGTAGGGGAAACCGGAGCACCCGGAGGAAACCTAAGCAGACACGGGGAGAACATGCAAACTCCACTCAGAAAGGCCCTGTTCCGACCGGGATTCGAACCCAGGACCTTCTTGCTGAGAAGCGAGAGTGCTATCGACTCAGCCACCGTGCCGCCCAAAAATATGCTGGGTTTATAGTAAGAATTGTTATGCAAAAGAAAACAATGTAATATGTCACAAATAAAAACAAGACACGTAAAAATAAACAGAAAAACATTGTTTGAAAAAGAGGCTGGACCAAACAGACGTTTTTTTATTCTCCAACCTCTCACTCATTCATAGCAACACAATCACACACAGTTAACACAAGCACAACACTCGACAAGACACAGGCCCAGACACTCTCTGACCACACACCTCCCTCCACACAGAGCTTTTTTAATCTTTATTTTTACAAATTTTATGACGTATGATAGATTTGGGTACAGCACTTGGATAACCGGAGCACTATCCTCTCCTCTTCCTGAATTCATTATGACTTCAGCTGTAGTCTGTTCATTGCTATTCACCCGCTGTCCCAATGTCTGTTTCATGGATGTGATGAAGGGAGTCCTGAATCCAGTCCCATTCATCAGCACCTGTGGACTGTCTTCCCTGTGGCCCGGACTCGTGGGCTGGTTGGTCCTGGATCTACAGCCTGAGTCCTGGGTCTACAGCCTCAGTCCTGGATCCACAGCCTCAGTCCTGGATCTACAGCCTCAGTCCTGGATCTACAGCCTCAGTCCTGGATCTACAGCCTCAGTCCTGGATCTACAGCCTCAGTCCTGGATCTACAGCCTAAGTCCTGGATCTACAGCCTAAGTCCTGGGTCTACAGCCTCAGTCTTGGGTCTACAGCCTCAGTCCTGGATCTACAGCCTAAGTCCAGGGGTCTACAGCCTCAGTCTTGGATCTACAGCCTAAGTCCTGGGTCTACAGCCTAAGTCCAGGGTCTACAGCCTCACTCCTGGATCTAAAGCCTAAGTCCTGGGTCTACAGCCTCAGTCCTCGGTCTGCAGCCTCAGTCCTGGATCTACAGCCTCAGTCTTGGATCTACAGCCTCAGTCCTCGGTCTACAGCCTCAGTCCTCGGTCTACAGCCTCAGTCTTGGATCTACAGCCTCAGTCCTGGGTCTACAGCCTCAGTCCTGGGTCTACAGCCTCAGTCTTGGATCTACAGCCGAAATGATCTGGAACATGGACATTTATGGTCGTCCCGCTCTCTGTGGACAAATGGCTTCTATGTGTTTGTTAATGTTGTATTTCCTGCGTTCGAACTGTTTGAATCTCTGATCTGTTGTTGGTGAATTGACAACTTTGTACAGCCCTTTGAGGCGACTGCTGTTGTAATTTGGGAATGGATTAAGGAGAAGAAAATGGATGGATGACCAGTGTGGACATGCAGAATCCCACCTGTGGGATGGGCAGCTCCTTGTACTGTTTCCTCTGAGCCACTTTGATGGGAGGCAGGTGAGTGACCGCGGACACTAGGAAGTTCATCAGGATGTCCTCGCAGTTCGCACTTCTGTCCACCAGGGTGCGCAGAGACTGGGGCAGATAGTGAGAGAACAGGAAGTGGTAGTACCTGCGGGAAACACAAAGCATATTCTTAAAGACCTTATGCAGGGTTTATTTTTATTTTTATTGTGGATATCAAAATTGCATGACAGTTATTCAATTATTGTCGATCTGAAATAGATTCTAGCAAAAAAAATCCTATATTTTATAAAAAGAATGTGTTTTTAATGAATTTAAGTTGTCTATGCTCTAACCTGAGTGTGACGTCACAGCGGGTAACGCCCATGCATTGAAATGGATCAAAGCCATGGATCTATGCCACAGAGACTCGCCTGTCCTCTCTTCTCTCCACCGATGTCCCACACAACACTGCCCTCTACAGGTGTCAATTGCTCATTACACATATATTGCCGTTTGAGAGTGAAAATGTGACTGAGGTGAAAAAAGACCAAATACCAAATTGTAAACAACTTACAGCGTTGAAACGTACCCGCTCTGACGTCACCAAGGGCTGTGAAGTTTTTTCGTCTCTAAAGGCGTTGCTATGAGGTTATTTCGATTTCGGGGGATCAGACAAAAAAAAAAAATAATGATTTTGAAACCTTTAGTAGTTCTCTTCTAATATAAAATGGTATTAAAACTGTACTTCTAAATCAATCAAACCTGTCATAAGGTCTTTAAAGAACGACTAGACACCTGTGCCCAGCCTGACTCCGCCCACATGAACACTTGAACATTTCTCTAAAAAGGGCGTTGCCGGAGGACCAGGGGACAAGAAGGCGGGGTTAGAGTTGGGCGTGGTCTGGGCTGTGATTGACAGCTCACTTGTCACACACAAAAAAATCAGACAGTTGTCATGATTACTGCTTAAAGCAATAGTTTACACACTAGAAAGTCTCATTCCACCCTTGTTTACACACTGAGATGATTGTAAAGCTACACACCTGAACCACAGAATGATCTCAGCAGTAGTGGCTCTCTAACTATGTAATTTAATATTAATCCACTAGATGTCGCTCGTCACACATACAAACTGACATCACACATCACCCCAGAGCCAATGGAAAGGCCAGGCACAAAATTCAAATGTAGTGCCACCAAAAGGGTATAGAGGGCGCCACACAGATGGTTTTAGGCTCAAAAGTGAGATAAAAAAAGTGGATTTGGAGTTTTTTTGTCCTTTAAGTCAACATACAGTAACAAAACAATGTTGCAAGTCTGAAGTTTACCGCTCTGGGACAAATAAAGATGATCTCATTGTTAAGTTTGGTTTGTGTTGCCTTGTGTGTGAACTGTGCTATATAAATAAACGTTGCATTTCCAGTGCTGTTTAAATGACTGCTAATTTGGTTGACAATAAGACTATAAGGTGGCGGGTTAAATACCTCTTTGACCTGAGACTCCAGTCTGCGTCGGTCCCTTGGGTTTTTGCGCAGTGTGAATGAGGCTCATGAGAAAGTGTATCTCTGTCTCTCTCTGTTCACATACTGCTCCTTTGGCTATAATGTCCCACAATATGGCATTAAACTGATCTATTTCTAGAACGTTCCATCCCAGGGAATCATGCAGTTCATTTTCTACCACCACAGACTCATGCACTGAACCTCCACTGTTATAATTATTTCACAACAACGGTTAAATAACAGCCCATTATTTAGTCCTTTTTGTCGTTTATATAATTACATGCCTACAGAATAATAACACCATTTAACATCACAGAATATTTTAAGCAAACAAAAATATGAGAGATGGAAATTATTTCATTTTCTGCATTTCTCTTCAACATTTCAAACACCTCGACGCCACATTTGTCTGCTCTTTATTCGCTAAATTACCTCCAACAGATGAGGATACCCAGGTCCATTAATCACACCATTTGTATTTCTAATTGAAACCACTTTGCTACAAGAGAGAAACAAGCCCCGAGACACTCAAGTGGTCCTCCTTCAAATCACCTCCTCACCAAAATATCCATCACTCTCTTTACAAGTGCTTTGGTAAACTTAATACATCTCAGTATACATACATGCATACCTGTCCTGTCTCAGTATACATGCAGACCTCTCCTGTCTCAGTATACATGCAGACCTCTCCTGTCTCAGTATACATGCAGACCTCTCCTGTCTCAGTATACATGCAGACCTCTCCTGTCTCAGTATACATACAGACCTCTCCTGTCTCAGTATACATACAGACCTCTGTCTCAGTATACATACAGACCTCTGTCTCAGTATACATGCAGACCTCTGTCTCAGTATACATACAGACCTCTGTCTCAGTATACATGCAGACCTCTCCTGTCTCAGTATACATGCAGACCTCTGTCTCAGTATACATACAGACCTCTGTCTCAGTATACATACAGACCTCTGTCTCAGTATACATACAGACCTCTGTCTCAGTATACATACAGACCTCTGTCTCAGTATACATACAGACCTCTGTCTCAGTATACATACAGACCTCTCCTGTCTCAGTATACACACAGACCTCTGTCTCAGTATACATACAGACCTCTGTCTCAGTATACATGCAGACCTCTGTCTCAGTATACATGCAGACCTCTCCTGTCTCAGTATACATACAGACCTCTGTCTCAGTATACATGCAGACCTCTGTCTCAGTATACATGCAGACCTCTCCTGTCTCAGTATACATGCAGACCTCTGTCTCAGTATACATACAGACCTCTGTCTCAGTATACATGCAGACCTCTGTCTCAGTATACATACAGACCTCTGTCTCAGTATACATGCAGACCTCTGTCTCAGTATACATACAGACCTCTGTCTCAGTATACATGCAGACCTCTGTCTCAGTATACATGCAGACCTCTCCTGTCTCAGTATACATACAGACCTCTCCTGTCTCAGTATACATACAGACCTCTCCTGCCTCAGTATACATACAGACCTCTCCTGTCTCAGTATACATACAGACCTCTGTCTCAGTATACATACAGACCTCTCCTGTCTCAGTATACATGCAGACCTCTCCTGTCTCAGTATACATGCAGACCTCTGTCTCAGTATACATACAGACCTCTCCTGGCTCAGTATACATGCAGACCTCTGTCTCAGTATACATACAGACCTCTCCTGGCTCAGTATACATGCAGACCTCTCCTGGCTCAGTATACATACAGACCTCTCCTGCCTCAGTATACACACAGACCTCTCCTGTCTCAGTATACATACAAACCTCTGTCTCAGTATACATACAAACCTCTCTGGTCTCAGTATACATGCAGACCTCTCTTGTCTCAGTATACATGCAGACCTCTCTTGTCTCAGTATACATGCAGACCTCTCCTGCCTCAGTATACACACAGACCTCTGTCTCAGTATACATACAAACCTCTCTGGTCTCAGTATACATGCACCACAGCCTAAGTCCTCGTTCTACAGCCTGAATCCTTCTAGCCGGTCCGTCAAAAACACATTAAATTGAATACACTATCTATACCATGCTTGACACATAATTAAAGCCGTAAATCCATTGATCAAATCCTGTTTTAACGTCATCATTTATTAAAATCAAGATCAAAATGACCTTACAAACACACCGTCGACTTTCTCTCAAATGTCTAGATCTCTCCGTGGCAGAAAGGTTGGACACCCCTAACATAGACTATTTTCGGTAGAGACTGCGACTTTTTGATCAATCGACGTCAATGGGACAAGGCCCGCGTCTGTATCCGATTCCCTCTGCGCCTGTGTAACCCATCCCACAGCTCCTGAACGCAGCTGTGTAACTTTCACCGTGACTGTTTCTATATCGAGAAATCACATGACTTTTGAAATGGGACAAAAAGGTTGTTCCTCGCATAGACGCGCAGACAGAAAGATGTATGTTGATGTTATGTATCTAGGACAAGTACGGTATTTATAGTACTCTTTCCCTGTGGTCCCAAAACTCGCCATTTTTCAGGATTATTCCCCAAAAATGACGAGTACACGCTTCTCCAGTGATTACAGCTGACCTACGAGGTGTCTTTTGTTTGGATTTGAATAGACGGTAATTAGCGGACATGGGTAAATTAGCTGCGATTAAAAGGCCATAGTGTCTTTTGTGTTATTTTTGGGTTGAAAATGAAATGGTGGATTATGAGTGAGATGGACTCAGAGGGAAAGATGGAGAGAATATGGCGCCACAAAACGACAAGACTGATGCACCAATGTTGTTCTAGTGAGATATGTTACTACTACTACTACTGCTACTGCTACTGCTGCTTCTACTACTGCTACTACACTGTAAAAAAGAAAAAGTTAGTTCAACTCAAAATTTCAAAGCAACCAGTTGCAAAGGATTTTTGAGTTGAAGGCATTAATTTAATTCTTCACGTTTTGAAGAACTACACTTATTAAGTTGTGTCCGCTAAGTTTTCCAAGTTCTGCCAACTAAGTTTTTAATTCAAGTAACTGGAAATTTCAAGTCTGTAAAAACTTGAGTTTAAATTAGCCCCCACATTAAACCATCATGATGTTTATTTATATAACACATTTTACAGACCAAGGTCACTTGGGCAGGGGAAACCGGAGCACCCAGAGGAAACCTATGCAGACACAGAAAACATGCAGATTCCACCAGAAAGGCCCTGTTCCGACCGAGATTCGAACCCAGGACCTTCGTGTCAAGAAGCAGGAGTGCTATCCACTCAGCCTCCGTGCCGCACACACTGTGAGCCAGATTAGTGGAAAACTAAAGTTTCTAAGACTGACCCAGGGAATATACAGGGCTACTTTGGCTTGGCCCTGTCGATTACGGTTGGTAAAATCAAACACAATGATTTTTTTGGTCAAATTAGTTTTTTCAAAATGTTGAATGCAGCCGGTTGCCATGACAAATATTTAAATGAGCAAACGCAGATAAGTTGACCTCACTCTAACTCGGTGAACTGTAAAAACGACAACTCAAAATTGTTCACCTTACTCAGATTTTTACATTCACTGACATAAAATTGCCAGTTGGAACTGGAACTGTCTGTTGTGAGCCACTTGAACTCACTTTCAGAAGTTTACTAAAACTTCAAAGTAAAATCAACTTAATTTATCAAATAAGATGAACTTTTCATCAGTAACTTCTGAAAGTGAGTTCAAGTGGCTCACAACAGACAGTTCAAGTTCCAACTTGCAATTTTATTGTCAGTGAATTAATAAATCTTAGTAAGGTGAACAATTTTGAGTTGTATTTTTTACAGTGTACTACTACTGCTACTACTTCTACTGCAGCTGCTACTACTTTTATTTATTTATATTCTAGCCTGTAGTTTGAATGAGAAAAAAAGCTATGCCTCACGGTTGACTCTGGCCTGGTCTTCCCTGAGCAGGTGGACTTACAGGTGCGAGCCCCTGGGGATGTGACCCAGAAGGAGGGGAGCGACCCGGGGAGAGGCCCGGGTACTGCTACTAATACCACTACTACGATTTCTACTACTAACATAAACCAACAATCAAGTAAGTTAGTAATCTCTATTTATTGACGTAAGATTTAATACAAATCTTTTAGAGGCAAATTTTCTTTAGATTGTGATTATCACTCAAGGTCTGTTATGAGGAGGGAGCAACTGTAACGAGACGAAAAGCTCAAAAATGATGATTTTGAATGATGGACAGATATTGATAAATATATACAAATATTTTGTCATTCATCTCATGTGTTCGTTAGGAAAAGTCATGCTAATAATAGTATTACATTTAAAAATTAAAATTAAACAATTTCCCCCATTATTTCCTACTAATGATCAGATTATTTGAAAGTGTAAGATATAATGTATAAGTGAATGTGGAGGTTACCGGTGGTAGAAGGCGGCCCCCGTCAGCACGATGGAGTAGTCGTTGGTCCATTTGGAGGTGTAGCCCCAGACCCGCTTCACTGGGTCCCAGAAGTGACTCCGAGGGGGGTATCCCACAATCCTCTCTGGGAAACTCCTCCAAACCAGGAAGGCAAAGTTCACCTGCGAATACAGACAAGATCATAATTAAAAACTACCTCAAGATGCTGTGAGGGATATTTCAAAGAAGAAGAAATATAATGCATGGTTAAAGAGTATTTACTTTGTCTTTTCATGGTTCAAAATCTGAAATAATATTGTATGTAGAAAATATTTGATGTAACAAGAAAAACAGGTAAATGCTTTCTGCCTGTAACTCCCTGTGCTGCCACCAGAGGGCGGAGTTGCATTGGAAAGAGCATTTAGGGACAACACTTTTGTTTAAAGGTATAAATCTGGTCACAGAGGTACAGTGACATCCCACGATCACAGGACTGAGACTGGAGCTTTAAGACAGAGAGAAGGGGTTAAAGTTTTTCGTTCTTGATGAGGAAACAATGTTGCAGCATGGTCAAAATCTGAAAAAGTCAACAAATTCTAGAAACATGAAGAAGCTCAATGGGTGGATGAAATACATTTCTGACATACTTCAAATGCAGCACATTGATTCATCCTGAACCATAAAAACACATTTGGATTAAATATGGCAACCATTTGTGGACTGCCTGACAACCTGGATGGCTGATCTGTGGACTGGAGATGGGTGAAATAAATCCAAATTACTTAAAGAATATCCGAATAAAGTTTTCCAAATGAAAATCTGAAAACGCAGATTTTTCATACAGTACATCTCCAAAGAGCAACATTGACAGTAGAAGGCAAAAATCAGGCAGATGGATACATTTGGTCAATCAAAAAATATCTCTAAGACTTAGCCTGGTCTTACCATACAATCATACTCATTTCATACTAAGGTCTGGATTTGCTCCATTGACTCCGTGAACAGGTGGGAGGGGTTAACTCCTTTTAAAGATTGAAACCATTGGATCCGAGTTTACTGTGACGTCTGTAATGAGCCCGAGTGAGTGGCCTTTAGCATTCAGCCTAGCTTTAGCATTTAGCCTAGCTTTAGCCATCTCTTTTTCCACTTCTCACACTCTAATTACTATACATTAACTTGTCAATCAATTACCAACGGATGAACACAATACAGAACCGATCACCACCAACCATTCACACACACACCAGACTCATTCTAGGCAATGGGCCGTGAAGTGTCTTGCCGGATTTGTGTTGGCGAATCGACAGTTTTGTAAAGTCCTCCAAGATAACTACTGTTGTGATTTAGGGCTAAACAAGAATACATTGAATTGACTTGAATTACCCACTGATGTGTTGTTGCAAGAGTAATTCTGCTTTTTGGACTTACCTCTTTGTTCTAAGCTGCACTCAGTGGTTTTGTGTGGAAGGATTTTATTTAAAATGGTAGATTCATGGCCGCACATTTAGAGAAGATATTCAATTATGAAAATATGTGTCCATGGCAGAATGAAAAGGCTTGGCATCTGGACAGCGCCGCCGTCTTTTGAGCCAAACTTTTTTTATACATTCGACGGCTTTGCTCTCACCTCATTGGTCAGCAGCACCGTGTCCTCGTCCAGGCTAAGCACCGCCTCCGTCTCTAGGGAAACGTGAGGAAGGAATCGGCTGGAGGTCTGAGGAGAAGAGACATCAAACGCCTTCAGAACTACAATGTTTATTCCCCAAAGTGAAAGGATTGTGCATAAACAAACATGGCTGCAACATGAATTTCACAGTTTTTTTCCCCCAATTCTTCTGTCGACAAGCAAACAACAAAAACTATTTTGTATCCAAAATATGATTATTTAACCGACAGAGAGGTTGAAGTTTGACATTTATCTTATCTTCTTCTTCTTCTTAATTCAAATTGTGTCTCATAAACCTCAAATCCAGTTAAAAACACTTATTTGTTTATCTGTGCATACAATGGAAGGACCGTATCTTTACTATTTTTAACCCTTCAATGATCCTCAACCATTTGGCTTTGAGCTGAAATCCACCTCTTTGGGACATCTCACTTAGTTTTAGGTACTTTTACCATCGAGCTGCATCTCAACCATTATGTAAAAGCATATAATTAAACAAAACTAAGGGTTAAAATAAAAAATAGAATAACAGATGTGTCCTATCAGTGCTCCTAACAAAAACATTGCACTGTGATTGCTTCTGGTTTTAACCCCTTGTGTGATTTTAATGTTTAGATTATAGATTTTTAATAATAGCAATAATAGCAATAACCATAATCATTATAGACTTATGCCTAGCGTACATCGGACCTCAACTACGGTGTGTTCTCTGGGATTAACTGTAGAGGGCGCTATACACGCAAGACACACATGTTGTTGGAGCGCGCACATCGGGTGATATCTCCAGATCTGAGGACAACTAGTTGCCGAAAAGTAGAACACGGGCAACTGACTGAATCCGGAGATCGACTGTTCATCTCCAGTTGTAAGAGCGCTCACATCGACCGATTTCAACTGATCATCTCCATCATCTCCTCTCAGTCGCCAAAAGCCGCCTTGCAACTAGTTGTCTCCAGTTACTCTGTCCATGTACGCTAGGCTTTAGACAGACTGTATCGATCCACACGGAAAATTGCGTTGTCACAGTAGCTCACATAGAAATACAGCAGAAAGAAGAAAAAAAATGGATAACACTGAGTTTGAGTTTGCTTATGTATGAACTGTGCTATACTAATAAACTTGATAAATGGCTTTATACAGTCATTGTGCCAAGAAGAACGGCGTTTGCATGATTACTTCTCCTTAATGCTAAATACATACACTTTACACAGTGATTTCTGCAGAGTGGCAGCAGATAGAATATGGATTTATGTGCGTGTGTCTTGTCTGGAGCAGAGTGAAGGATGATCGTGTTTCTGCGTAAATCAGGCTGAGTGACTGCGATAAGTGCATCTGTATAGATTTTAGCCTCCGGAGGAAGACGCTACGGCAAATACAGGAAGAACCAGAGGATCCGAAGTACAAGTGACATTTATGAGAGAGACGCTACTCTGCAGACCATTGTATTAAAGCTGAGGTCCCTGACTTTATGCCTCTTAAATATTATTGTTTTTATCCCAGCAGGAAGAGCATCAGACCACAACAACACACTGTCGGTATGTTATCTTTTTTATACTTGTAAGAAAGAGCCCTGTGAGTCATTATTTGACCCTTTAGGCCTTTTTAACTTTTCTGTCTGACAAAGTTGATCTGAAGAGGGGGACAGAACCCAAAATTACATGAGTTTCATTTATGAATATGAAGTAGCTGTTGTTGTCGTTTGAAAGTTAGGTACCCCAGCTTTAATGAGTAAAAAATATGTGTGTTTTTGTCCAGTATTTTGTGTGTGTTTTTGAAAGAATTACACATAAATATTTTAACTCAACAAGAAAAGATTCACCTTTTTGAATCATGTTTTTGCTGAATCTATGTCTCACAGCGTCAATAAACTGGAACAGATGTATACAATCTCAGGAGTATAAAAAGATTTATGTGTCTGTGTATGTATTGTTTGTGTGTATGTATGCATGTGTATACAAGATCTGTGTGTGTATCCTATGTGTCAGGATAGTGTGTATTGTATGTATTTGTGTGTGAATTGTGTGCATGGTGTGTATAGTGTGTGTTGTATGTATGTGTGTGTGTATTGTGTGTGTTGAGTTCACGTTTACCTTTCTGCGTCCGTCCGTCACTGTGAGCGGAACTGGCATCGGGGGCCATTTACTGCGACTGGGAGGAGGCTTCTCACTGTTCCACAAAATGATGATCTGAACGACACACACACACACACACACACACACACACACACACACACACACAGACACACACACATACAGACACAAACACACAGTCAATATCCAAGCGATTCAATGTGAGTTTTGGGAAACAGAGGGTTACGTTTAGTAACTAGATGTGGCAGGGTCCAAATCATTCAATTCAAGTGTGTAGTTTATTGTTGTGTAGTGTATGTGTGTGTAGTTTATTGTTGTGTAGTGTATGTGTGTGTAGTTTATTGTTGTGTAGTGTATGTGTGTGTAGTTTATTGTTGTGTAGTGTATGTGTGTGTAGTTTATTGTTGTGTAGTGTATGTGTGTGTAGTTTATTGTTGTGTAGTGTATGTGTGTGTAGTTTATTGTTGTGTAGTGTATGTGTGTGTAGTTTATTGTTGTGTAGTGTATGTGTGTGTAGTTTATTGTTGTGTAGTGTATTGTTGTGTAGTGTATGTGTGTGTAGTTTATTGTTGTGTAGTGTATGTGTGTGTAGTTTATTGTTGTGTAGTGTATGTGTGTGTAGTTTATTGTTGTGTAGTGTATGTGTGTGTAGTTTATTGTTGTGTAGTGTATGTGTGTGTAGTTTATTGTGTATGTATGTGTGTGAGTTTATTGTTGTGTAGTGTATGTGTGTGTAGTTTATTGTTGTGTAGTGTATGTGTGTGGTATGTTTTTGTTGTGTAGTGTATGTGTGTGTGTGTGTGTTTATTGTGTGTAGTGTAGTGTGTGTGTAGTTTATTGGTTGTGTAGTGTATGTGTGTGTGTGTAGTTTATTGTTGTGTAGTGTATGTGTGTGTAGTTTATTGTTGTATGTAGTGTAGTTGTTGTGTGAGTGTTGTGTGTTAGTTATTGTGTGTATGTGTGTAGTTTATTGTTGTTAGTGTGTATTTATGTGTTGGTATGTTGTGTAGTTTATTGTTGTGTAGTTGTGTATGTGTGTGTAGTTTATTGTTGTGTAGTGTATGTGTGTGTAGTTTATTGTTGTGTAGTGTATGTGTGTGTAGTTTATTGTTGTGTAGTGTATGTGTGTGTAGTTTATTGTTGTGTAGTGTATGTGTGTGTAGTTTATTGTTGTGTAGTGTATGTGTGTGTAGTTTATTGTTGTGTAGTGTATGTGTGTGTAGTTTATTGTTGTGTAGTGTATGTGTGTGTAGTTTATTGTTGTGTAGTGTATGTTGTGTGTGTAGTGTTATTGTGTGTAGTGTATGTGTGTGTATGTGTATTGTTGTGTAGGTATGTGTGTGTGTGTGTAGTTTATTGTTGTGTAGTGTATGTGTGTGTAGTTTATTGTTGTGTAGTGTATGTGTGTGTAGTTTATTGTTGTGTAGTGTATGTGTGTGTGTAGTTGTATTGTTGTGTAGTGTATTGTTGTGTAGTGTATGTGTGTGTAGTTTATTGTTGTGTAGTGTATGTGTGTGTGTTTTGTTGTTGTGTAGTGTATGTGTGTGTAGTTTATTGTTGTGTAGTGTATGTGTGTGTAGTTTTATTGTTGTGTAGTGTATGTGTGTGTAGTTTATTGTTGTGTAGTGTATGTGTGTGTAGTTTATTGTTGTGTAGTGTATGTGTGTGTAGTTTATTGTTGTGTAGTGTATGTGTGTGTAGTTTATTGTTGTGTAGTGTATGTGTGTGTAGTTTATTGTTGTGTAGTGTATGTGTGTGTGTGTAGTTTATTGTTGTGTAGTGTATGCGTGTGTAGTTTATTGTTGTGTAGTGTATGTGTGTGTAGTTTATTGTTGTGTAGTGTATGTGTGTGTAGTTTATTGTTGTGTAGTGTATGCGTGTGTAGTTTATTGTTGTGTAGTGTATGTGTGTGTAGTTTATTGTTGTGTAGTGTATGTGTGTGTAGTTTATTGTTGTGTAGTGTATGCGTGTGTAGTTTATTGTTGTGTAGTGTATGTGTGTGTAGTTTATTGTTGTGTAGTGTATGTGTGTGTAGTTTATTGTTGTGTAGTGTATGTGTGTAGTTTATTGTTGTGTAGTGTATGTGTAGTGTATGTGTGTGTAGTTTATTGTTGTGTAGTGTATGTGTAGTGTATGTGTGTGTAGTGTATGTGTAGTGTATGTGTGTGTAGTTTATTGTTGTGTAGTGTATGTGTGTGTAGTTTATTGTTGTGTAGTGTATGTGTGTGTAGTTTATTGTTGTGTAGTGTATATGTGTGTAGTTTATTGTTGTGTAGTGTATGTGTGTGTAGTTTATTGTTGTGTAGTGTATGTGTGTGTAGTTTATTGTTGTGTAGTGTATGTGTGTGTAGTTTATTGTTGTGTAGTGTATTGTTGTGTAGTGTATATGTGTGTAGTTTATTGTTGTGTAGTGTATGTGTGTGTAGTTTATTGTTGTGTAGTGTATGTGTGTGTAGTTTATTGTTGTGTAGTGTATGTGTGTGTAGTTTATTGTTGTGTAGTGTATTGTTGTGTAGTGTATGTGTAGTGTATGTGTGTGTAGTTTATTGTTGTGTAGTGTATGTGTGTGTAGTTTATTGTTGTGTAGTGTATGTGTGTGTAGTTTATTGTTGTGTAGTGTATGTGTGTGTAGTTTATTGTTGTGTAGTGTATGTGTGTGTAGTTTATTGTTGTGTAGTGTATTGTTGTGTAGTGTATGTGTATGTAGTTTATTGTTGTGTAGTGTATGTGTGTGTAGTTTACTGTTGTGTAGTGTATGTGTGTGTAGTTTATTGTTGTGTAGTGTATGTGTGTGTAGTTTATTGTTGTGTAGTGTATGTGTGTGTAGTTTATTGTTGTGTAGTGTATGTGTGTGTAGTTTACTGTTGTGTAGTGTATGTGTGTGTAGTTTATTGTTGTGTAGTGTATGTGTGTGTAGTTTATTGTTGTGTAGTGTATGTGTGTGTAGTTTATTGTTGTGTAGTGTATTGTTGTGTAGTGTATGTGTAGTGTATGTGTGTGTAGTTTACTGTTGTGTAGTGTATGTGTGTGTAGTTTATTGTTGTGTAGTGTATGTGTGTGTAGTTTATTGTTGTGTAGTGTATTGTTGTGTAGTGTATGTGTAGTGTATGTGTGTGTAGTGTATGTGTAGTGTATGTGTGTGTAGTTTACTGTTGTGTAGTGCATGTGTGTGTAGTTTATTGTTGTGTAGTGCATGTGTGTGTAGTTTATTGTTGTGTAGTGAATCTGACCTGGGAGCAGTACTTGGACTTGGAGACGACCTGGAGGAGCTTCATGATTGGCTGAGACTGAGACACCAGCGGCGAGACGGCGTGGATCACTGCGGTGAACTCCTGCCCCGGACTCACGCCTGCGAACCACAAACTAAAGTCTTCAACCAAATCTGGACTTTCAGGTCAAAGGGAAAGGTTGTTTACACACAGTTGGCCGAAATACACAATAAACAAAAAGTACAGATTTGTATTATTTTATTTGATCATCGCTGACGAGCCGAGTTCTGAAATACTTGTTGGTGAAGCCGTACACTAAAATACACCTGGCTTTTCAAATAAACAACTTAGTAAAGATAATTCTATGTCTTTCCAATATTTTTCTCTTGGCACTTTTTGAAAATTAGCTTTGAAAGACTTTGAAAGTTGTCTGAATTAAAGCAGTATCTCAGACTTTCAACTACAACACTTGATATGTCTCAAGCACTTTATTAACACTTTATTGGCACTTCATTAGCACTTTGTTAGCACTTTACTGCTCTCCTGTGCAGCTCTCACTATAATAATAATAATAATATGAATCGGTTTTATATAGCGCTTTGTGTGTGTGTGTATGCAGATGCTTGTGTGTGTGTGTGTGGGTGTGTGTGCTTACATATGTTTGTGTGTGTGTGAATCTGTGTGTGTGTGTCTATGTGTGTATATGTCAGTGGGGGCAGGTCCCAGCTCAAAAGTGGCCAAAATGACGTGCGCTGACATGCTGCAATACCACCCCGGGCCTGTGGGGGTGGACCCAGAAGTAGAATTAGCCAATGCTAACATATAGCATTAGCAGACCTCTCAAAAACGTCTTTACAGGATGGACCAAAGGTTGGCTCTTGGCCCAAAGCTCCGTTCCACATGTGCGAGTATGTGTGTACGTGTGCCTGTGTGTGTATAAGAGTATGTGTGTGTGTGTGTGTGTGCGTGTGTGCCTGTGTGTGTTTCTTTGTCTGCCTGTGTGTGAAAAGGTATATGTGTGTGTGTGTGTGTGTGTGTATATGTGTGTGTGTGCCTGTGTGTGTTTCTTTGTCTGCCTGTGTGTGAAAAGGTATATGTGTGTGTGTATGTGTGTGTGTATATGTGTGTGTGTGCCTGTGTGTGTTTCTTTGTCTGCCTGTGTGTGAAAAGGTATATGTGTGTGTGTGTGTGTGTGTGTATATGTGTGTGTGTGCCTGTGTGTGTTTCTTTGTCTGCCTGTGTGTGAAAAGGTATATGTGTGTGTGTATGTGTGTGTGTGTGTGTATATGTGTGTTTGTGCCTGTGTGTGAAAAGGTATATGTGTGTGTGTGTGCATGTGCTTGCTTATGTTTGTGTGTATATGTGTGTGCATGTGTTTGTGAATGCCTGTGTGTATATAGGTGTGCATATGCTTGAATATGTGTGTGTGTGTCTGTGCGTGCACGTGTGTGTGTGCGTTCCTTACCCAGGCCCAGGTAGTAGAAGGGGAAGTGGGCCAGGTGCGTGGAGTATTCCGGCAGCACAAACAAACCTCCAGGTAAAGAGTTCCACATGTATTTGTTCCTCGAGACGTGAGAGAAAACTCGGTCTTTGATGATCTGCCGGAGACAGCGGAGAAGTGGTGGTTAAAGCTCAGGTACCTAACTTTAGAGACAGCGGAGAAGTGGTGGTTAAAGCTCAGGTACCTAACTTTAGAGACAGCGGAGAAGTGGTGGTTAAAGCTCAGGTACCTAACTTTATAACCACCAAACATTGAGCTGTAATGAAATCCATCTCACTCGCTCCTCACTCTCTATTTGTCTATTTGTCTGTTATGTGACCTCTGTCATTGTTAGATCAGCTTTTCAGACAGATGAGACAGACGAGAGGGCCAGTGTGTGTGTGTCTGACTTGTGAATGTGTGTGTGTGTGTTTGACTTGTGAATGTGTGTGTGTGTGTTTGACTTGTGAATGTGTGTGTGTGTGTTTGACTTGTGAATGTGTGTGTGTCTGACTTGTGAATGTGTGTGTGTGTGTTTGACTTGTGAATGTGTGTGTGTGTATGCGTCTGACTTGTGAATGTGTGTGTGTCTGATTTATGAATGTGTGTGTGTGTGTGTGTGTGTCTGACTTGTGAATGTGTGTGTGTGTGTGTGTCTGACTTGTGAATGTGTGAGTGTCTGATTTATGAATGTGTGTGTGTGTGTGTGTGTCTAACTCGTGAATGTGTGTGTGTCTGTGTGTCTGACTTGTGAATGTGTGTGTGTGTGTGTCCGACTTGTGAATGAGTGTGTGTGTGTGTGTGTGTGTGTCTGACTTGTGAATGTGTGTGTGTCTGACTCGTGAATGTGTGTGTGTGTGTGTGTCTGACTTGTGAATGTGTGTGTGTGTTGACTCGTGAATGTGTGTGTGTGTGTGTGTCTGACTTGTGAATGTGTGTGTGTGTGTGTGTGTTTCTGACTTGTGAATGTGTGTGTGTGTGTGTTGTGTCTGATGTGTGTGTGTGTGTGTCTGACTTGTGAATGTGTGTGTGTCTGACTTGTGAATGTGTGAGTGTCTAACTCGTGAATGTGTGTGTGTGTCTGTGTGTGTGTGTCTGACTTGTGAATGAGTGCACTTGTTTTCAACTCCTGGTGGGTTCCATAACCTGAGATTCCACTCACGTCATGGGGACTGGTTTTACGTGGTGGGGGCCCGAACACCGGACCCCACTGGTCCAAGCTTAATAATCAATGGGTAATGCTTTTCTAACGGTCCTTATGCAGTCTCTGTAAAAATATGGAAAGGACCCCTGGAGGTTTACTTTCCTGAAAAAAGTGTGTTATGTGTCGGAACCCTGGTGGTGGGTTGCGGGATATCAAGGAGGGGCACACTGGGGCAATTTCAGTCCAGCAGGCTGGAGCCAATCATGGAGCAGCACAACAGAGGAAATCAGGTGTCAGGCTAGAAAAAGGTGCAAGTGTGTGGTTCATTAGGCTGCAAGAAATCATGGAGGAGCACACTGAAGCGCACGCTTACAAACCACTGGTAAGTGCTGACTACAAGTCATGACTTCAAATTGTTATATAGAATGATTACAAATAATTTGTTGTTTGTGCAGCTTAGTCAAGAGTCCCTAATTGATGAAGTCGACTCAGATTCTGACGATTTAACTGTCAAGAAGAAACCTGTAAAAAAGTATGGAAAAAGAAAAATCAAAAACACTTTTCTTCAAGACTCGGAAAGTGACGAACCAAAGGCAAATAAGATTGTTATCATGCAGCTGCAAAAGAAGAAAAATGGGGGGCGAGTATACAGCAAGAGACACTTCTGCCTCTACTGTTCAATGTCCTGCCACAAAATGTCCCGTCATTTGACTAGAAAACATGGAAATGAAAGTGACGTAGCCAGAGCATTGGCTCTACCTGTGAAATCTAAAGCACGTAAACTTCAGTTTGATTTGATCAGGAATAGTGGAAACCGTGAGCACAATTTTGAGGTTTTAAAGGCCGGCATTGGAACTTTAGTCCCAGCTAAACAGCCAAATTGCCCAGTTAAATCCAGTGAGTTTTTGCACTGTATAGACTGTGGGGCATTGCTTAAGCGAAAGTCGCTGTGGAGGCATGTGGCCAGGTGCCGGCTTTCACAGAAAGATGCCCAGGCTAAACCAGGTAGAAGTAGGGTCCAGTCCCTCTGCTCCCTAGCCCAGCCTGTACCGGAGGGCATCAGCAAAAAGCTGTGGTCTTTAATTTCGGCAATGCATCAGGATGAGGTCACGGGTGTTGTCAAAGCAGAAAAGGGGATTCTGAGACTCGGAGAGCACCTGTACTTAAAACACGGGCATGATAAGACAAAGCATGATTACATTAGGCAGAAAATGAGAGAAGTCGGTAGGTTAATTAACGAAGCAAAAACCGCAGGGAAACTGAAAACAATTAAGGATTTCTTTATTCCTTCCAACTTTAACCATGTGATTGATGCAGTCAGGTCTGTGGCTGGATATGATGAGGAAACAAATCAATACAAGACTCCATCCTTGGCCCTCAAACTCGGCCATAGCCTCAGAAAGCTAGCAGATATTCTTGAATGTGACTCAAAAATGGAGCATTGTGTTGATGAACTATTTATTAAAAACCTCCAACGAAGCCGGCTGCTTTTTGAGAAGAGGGTGGGACGTCTGTGTTTCTTCTGCTGCCCTACAGACCCTCCGGCAAGCCAAGTGGAACACTCCGGACCTGCTCCCTCTGACTGAGGACGTTAGAGCCATGCATGCACATATTGAGGTATGTCGACCTGAATATGTGCAAACCCTAATAAGTGAGCCAACGTCTAAGCATTGGTCTAAACTGGCAGTTTTGACTCTTTGTGAGGTCATCATTTTCAATCGAAGAAGGGAAGGTGAGGTTTCAAAGATGCCACTGACAGCCTTTACCTTAAGAAGTAAGACTGGGATCCATTCTGACATTGCTCTGGGACTGTCCCAACTTGAGAAAAAGCTGTGTCAGCATTTTCAACGCATTGAAATTAAAGGGAAAAGAAGTCGGAAAGTGCCGGTTCTTTTGACTCCTGAAATGATTGCTTCGATGGAGGTGCTGGTGGAGAACAGAAGGGCCTGTTCCATCTCTGACCATAACCCATACTTCTTTTCCCGCCCGGGCGCAGACACCCACATCAGGGGATCAGACTCCCTACGCCAGGTAGCCAAAGAATGTGGTGCGGTGCATCCAGAGATGCTATCCTCAACCAAACTTAGAAAGCACATAGCTACTATGTCTACAGTTCTCAATATGAAAGAGAATGAGATGGACATACTTGCCAACTTCCTCGGCCATGACATTCGCATCCACAGGCAATATTACAGACTACCAGAGGGGACACTGGAGCTGGCCAAAATCAGCAAAGTGTTGATGGCCATGGAGCAGGGAAGAGTGACGGAATTCGAAGGAAAGAGCCTCGACCAGATACAAATTGAGCCTGAAGGTAATTCTTGATATTATTAAAATATGTATGATTTTTTTCCCCTAAAGGCCACTTGTATTTTTATTTTCTGTGCGACAGGGAGAGCAGTAGAGATCCTCTCACAAACGGACGGGCTAAAAGAAACTTCAAGCGGAGAACCTTCAACCATTCATCCAGATGCACCCCATGGTAGTGGCAGTGCCCCTTCTGGTAAGTGTACCAGGTGGGGGATTACAGCCAGGCTGCTTGGTCCTCACCCTGGGAGTGTATATTGCTAATATATTTTTATTTCTCTCCCTAGAACGTGTAAGAAAGCCATGGTCTGCATCTGAGGTGAAGGCTGTGGAGAAGACCATGACACCTTTCATACAGACTGGAAAGGTCCCTGGGAAGTCTCACTGCCTGGCCTGCATTAATGCCTCACCAGATGACCTTAGACATCGGACATGGAGTGGCATTAAATTCTATGTCAAAAATAGAATCACTGCAATTCGAAAACAAAATCTAAAATAAAATTCCTTTAAAATAGTTGTTTGGTTTCTATTGACTGTTTTGTATTACTTAAAGTCTTGGTAAAAAAAGATTATGTCTATGGGTCCCATTCTGAACGGCCCTGTCAAAGGGACCCACCAGGTAACAAAAACGTGTATGTGTGTGTGTGTGTGTGTGTCTGACTTGTGAATGTGTGTGTGTGTGTGTGTCTGATTTGTGAATGTGTGTGTGTGTGTCTGACTTGTGAATGTGTGTGTGTGTGTGTGTGTGTCTGACTTGTGAATGTGTGTGTGTGTCTGATTTGTGAATGTGTGTGTGTGTGTGTGTGTGTCTGACTTGTGAATGTGTGTGTGTGTGTGTGTGTCTGACTTGTGAATGTGTGTGTGTCTGACTTGTGAATGTGTGAGTGTGTGTGTCTGACTTGTGAATGTGTGAGTGTGTGTGTCTAACTCGTGAATGTGTGTGTGTGTGTGTGTGTGTGTCTGACTTGTGAATGAGTGTGTGTGTGTGTGTCTGACTTGTGAATGTTGTGTGTGTGTGTCTGACTTGTGAATGTGTGTGTGTGTGTGTCTGACTTGTGAATGTGTGTGTGTCTGACTTGTGAATGTGTGAGTGTGTGTGTCTGACTTGTGAATGTGTGAGTGTCTAACTCGTGAATGTGTGTGTGTGTGTGTGTGTGTGTGTGTGTCTGACTTGTGAATGAGTGTGTGTGTGTGTGTCTGACTTGTGAATGTGTGTGTGTGTGTCTGATTTGTGAATGTGTGTGTGTGTGTGTGTCTGACTTGTGAATGTGTGTGTGTGTGTGTGTGTCTGACTTGTGAATGTGTGTGTGTGTGTGTCTGACTTGTGAATGTGTGAGTGTCTAACTCGTGAATGTGTGTGTGTGTGTGTGTGTGTGTCTGACTTGTGAATGTGTGTGTGTGTGTGTGTGTGTGTCTGTTTGTGAATGTGTGTGTGTCTGACTCGTGAATGTGTGTGTGTCCGACTTGTGAATGTGTGTGTGCGTGTGTCTGACTTGTGAATGTGTGTGTGTGTGTCTGACCTGTTGTGTGTGTGTGTGTGTGTGTATGTGTCAGTGACAACTTGGAGTCTTTTGTGGTAATTGTGGATGATGGGTGTGTAAACTTTCAAGCACACCTGTATCCAGGGTTAAACTCTAAACCATTAGCTCCCCATTCTCATTCCTGTT